TGGTGGCGCTGCCTCATCTTTCAGCTCATCCCTCATACTTCATTTCATCTCTTGGTTTTGGATAAAGACTGTTCTCTATCCCACATCTGACAGTATTTTTCCCAGGTGCTGTCTGTCTCCTAGATCTTTCAGGTGTCAGGCACAACAAAGGTGTCACCCATTTATTTCTTCTTCTCAGTTTCTGTCATGTGTAATATGTTTTAAGACCCTCAAATGCAGACATCCAATCCAGATGGATGTTCCTCTTAAGATCAAACAGATTCATTTGACTGCCAGGCTGACAGACACATAAAAACACACACACATATCTGCTCATTTGTCTGTAAATAACTGGCTATATCGCTGTTGCTCTGCATTGATTTGTTTGTATGTGTGTTTTTTTTGTGCCCTTGCAGATGCGTCAGGGTGCGTTCCTGGTCAATACCGCGCGGGGAGGCCTGGTGGATGAGAAGGCCCTGGCCCAGGCATTGAAGGAGGGCAGGATACGTGGAGCCGCCTTGGACGTTCACGAGACGGAGCCCTTCACGTAAGTGTAGTCACACACACACACACACACACACAAAAAAACAGTCAGAGAGATGAACGCTTCACTTAGAGAAACAGATACAGACAAGGAAATAGATGGGTGTGCAGGAAGGGAAAGAAAGCAACAAATTACACAGACAAAGAGACAGAGAACCTTAAACAGCTGAAGAGAAACAATGGAAGACATGACGGGTTAAAGAGACCTCATACTCCTCCTAAAAGGCTCCTTTAGGGCCCTGCAGGTAATGGAATTCAGGAGATGAAGAGCCAGCTTTATTCACGTCAGAGGAAACAAAATACAGTTAAAGGCGCAGGTGGATGGCTGAGTGAGGAGAGGTGCAACAAAGAGTATATCCTTTCCTTCTTTAAGGTGTCTAGCCTAATGACTTACTTATATCAGGACACATTTGTAAAGAAAATGTGCTTAAAATCAGCTAAATGCTTCAAATTTAAACTTCCAACTCCTCTATAATGTATAATTTACCAAGATTGCTGTAGATCATCTTCAGTAAATATTCCATTTATATTGGAAAAAGTATTAAATTTAAGACCATAACAAGCTAGTACGTCAGACTGGAAATGCTACTGTAAACATTTAGTCATTTAGCGTAGATAATATTTATCTTTACTGCCAAAACATCGCCATCCTCCCCCTAATCTTGTTGTCCCATCACTGCATTGCAGCTTTGAGATACAATCTCCATTTCCATTTCCGAACGGCTTGACACACCTCTCAGTTTTCCACCTTTCTAAGAACCATGTTCCTCATCTCAGGGGGTAACTGGTGTTGATGTGTTGTTCACGCATCAGGGGCAGTTAGGGAGGTTTGGAGGCTGCTTGTTTCTGGCCGGCTGCTCGGCTGACTGGCTGCTTGAGAAGACTGAAACTCAGCCCGATGGAGCTGGAACTCATGCTCCACTGACCCGATATGTCAACAGGGGAGTGTTTCATAACACCGGCCTTCCATCCCACGCGACACGACACTGATTCAGGGCGCTGTTTAGGCATTACACTTCATGCGCACACACGCACACACACGCACACATACACAGACAGGTTAGGTGTTACAAGGGTAGAAGAAGAGGAGGAGATGGAGTTGGAGCTGATTTGTTTTTCAGCGCCACACGAGCGGGCAGAGACGAGAGAAAGGAAGTTTTGGGAAAGGAGGAAGAAGGTTGAGGCGTGTGTGAATAACAGGATCTGACATTTTTTCTCCCATCGGCCGTGTTTCCAGACAAATTGTACACAAACATTTGACGTTTTAGGAAAAAAATGGAATATTGCAATGTGAAACGAGTTGATGCACATGAATGGGCTTTCTGATTGCCCCAATAATGAATAACATCTGCCATATTTGATGCTCTTCACACAAAGCAGAAAACAAAGAAATGCCCATGGCAATATTTTAATGCACCAACTTGCACTCGCCATGCAAAAAATATAAGAAGTGATAGCACTACATGAACAGATATGATCTCAGTTTCAGAACTTCCAATGCCACAGTTAGTTACAAATGTAACTAATGTAAATAACTGTTGGTTTGTTCATTCTCAACCGATGTCAAACAATTGTCATGACACTTTTTTCATCCTGTGAGCATAAGATTTAAGATCCTCTCCAGACATGCTATAAGACATATAAAAATACATATAATATACTTTGGATAATCATTTGTGTCAGATATAGTATTTCCAGAAGAAAACTTCAATCAACTAGTTAAAAATAGTTTAAATTCCAATTCCAACTACCCCTTTTCCCCTTGTTGAAAAATGCTGGACACAAAATCACACTTATGTAAGGTGAATACTGGACCACAATTGGCTTCCAAAGTAGTTAGGATGTCAGAGAATCTTTCACCAAACTCATTCATCATTCTGCACGGGGAATGTCGATTTAATGGAGGGGGACTTTAAAATCCTCTTCAGAGGACAGAATGTACATCTCTAAACAGCTTTTCCCTCAGTGTCCCTCACCAGCTACTTCTCTTTTGTCTTCATTTGTCTTTTTTTTTTTCTTCCCCTCTGCGTCTCCAGTTTTGCTCAGGGCCCGCTGAAAGACGCTCCGAACCTGATCTGCACACCGCACACAGCCTGGTACAGTGAGCAGGCCTCTCTGGAGATGAGGGAGGCGGCCGCCACCGAGATCCGAAGAGCCATCACCGGTACGCGCAAATCTGACAAACGCAGCATTAAATCCTTCACCTACCTTCCACCGCTTTATATTCAGGCTCACTAACCGACCTCCCCCCAACCCCCACCCCCTCCGCCTCCGTCTGCTATGTGACCTGTTGCACGTCTTTTCTTTCCCAGATGTCACATTTCCACTTCAATAGGCCCTGGGCAGACTTTATTAAATCTGGACCTCTTAATAGATGTCATCATTAGCTCCCCGACGCAGAACAGAGCCCAGGGGTTGGCCCACCAGAAAACATCCAGATTGTTAAATGATCTTAATTTGCATTCGTGTACCCAAGCCTTAGACGTTTGTCAGTCTGAACTCATTAACACTTTGGCGTCGTCTGGTCACTCGCCCCCCCCCCCTAAAAAGTCACGTTCTCCATACAGTGTCTGATTGAGTGTGCTTCGCTGCTTTTTAACTCTGTGTGCTCGTGTGACAGGCCGTATCCCAGACAGCCTAAGAAACTGCGTCAACAAGGAGTTCTTCGTCACCACGGCACCATGGGCGGTTATGGATCAACCGGGCGTTCACCCTGAGCTCAACGGCGCCGCCTACAGGTAGGGACTGAACGTGCAGATGGCTAGCAAATGTCCCTCTTGCTGTTTCAGAAGATTTTTTAAAAGCTGCCCTGCATTTAAAAAACCGAAACATGTTTAGGATTGTATTTTAATATGTCAGTAAAATGTATTAATGTATTCTATACCCCTGTACCACCTTTGTTTTAACAAATTTCTTAACTTCCAAATGAGAGGATTCATGATAGATTAATGATAGAATATTGATAAAAGGTTATAAAAGTTTCTTTCTTGCTATGTTAATGAGGAAATTCTTACACCACCATGTTTATTCCATGTGTTTATTCCTCTATATTCACTGTTTTAAATGAATTCACTTCTCTGCTATAGATCCTAGTGCCCTGTCCCCTTACTAATGTTTCTCTGTAGTAGTAGAAAGGTAACTCTCTGCCCACCATGTCCCACTGTGGGCCCTTCCTGATCTCAGTATGTCCGCCTCCATGTGTTTCTTTCACGCAGCCATCTGAACCAAACTCTTCCAGCCGTAACAACCGGTGTCCCCCAAGACAAAATTAATGCCTAGATCAGGAGCAGGTAAATACAACCATCCGGGCCAACAGCCTCTTGTTTGGAGGTCCCGGATAAGACCCTCTCACCTGAGCTCACCTGATGTGTGTCACTTCTATAACCTTCCCCCCCTCCTCCCACCCACCCAGTACTCACCTGTTTGACTGAACACAGAGTAGAGATGGATGACAGCGAATGTGGGGGGTTTTGAGTGTCCCAGTAAGCATGACATAAAGCCATTCAGATGCAGTTTCATGCTTTGTGGTTTCCTTCTTATGGGGTTTTTTGGGCAAGTTCTGTTGGAGTCTCTGAACTTTATCGTCCTTTTTCCCCTCTCTGGTTGAATGGTGCCACTGACAGTGTGATCTTTTCCTCCCAGTTTTTGTTTTAATATAACGGCTCTTTTCCACAAAATAGTCCCAGGAACTAAACCAGTCCCCTTTGTGCTTCCACCCCATCCTAAGAACCATAAAGATTAGGCAAATTTTTACTGATAAAGGATTAAAAAAAGATTAAATCTTAACTTGAGATACAATTGTTTAGTTCTGAAAGAGTAATTTACCAAGTAAAAAAATGTCAAATATTCAATGGCCTCAGCTTCTTAACTCTGATGATTTGCTGCTTTTCTCTGTTTTAGATCATGTGGGCTGAATAACTTATTTTTATGAATTATGAATTGTTGGTCCAACAAAACAAGCAATTTGAAGTTGCCATCCTTGGCTCGTAAACAGTCCATTTCTGACAATTGAACATAAAATAATCAGTAGTTGCAGTGTGTTGTATTTACCTACATGCAACTGGGTTATATTTGAATGGATTTGGAAAATAAACAAAAATGAACTGCAAAATGGAAAAATTTAAACACCTGTTTGCAAAATTCCAGGATCTGCTGAGTGTACAAAACATATTGGAACAGTTAGCATAGCAATAAACAATTTTCATTATTGATTAAATCAGCCGATTATTTTCTCAATTAATTGTTTGGTCAATAAAAATGTTAAAAAAAAAAAACAGTTCATAGAAGTCTCAAAAACTGAAAATATTCACTTTTGGGAAGCTGATACCAGTATATCTTTTGTTTTTTCTAGAAAAAAAATCTAAACAATCAAAGGGCTACCTTAAAAGCAGGATCTTTTTTAAGTAGGTGCAAATACGGCTATAAAGTTACCTGAAAAAGTTCCTGTGGCAGAAAAGAGCCAGCGTAGTATCACTAAACATCAGCTTTGTCAGAGACTCCCATCTTTCACAGTGCGGGGAATGTGGGCTGGCCGACCCGTGAGTCCACTTTCAGGCCACTAACCTCTGACCTTCCCCCTCTTTCCCCCAGATACCCGCCGGGTGTAGTTGGAGTGGCTCCGGGTGGCATTCCGGGGGCGTTAGAGGGCATGGTGCCAGGTGGGGTGCCCATCGCCCACACCCTGCCCTCTGGTACACACCCCTCCCAGGCCCCGTCGCCCAACCAGCCCTCCAAACACGGCGAGACCAGAGAGCACCTCACCGAGCAATAGCAGCAGAAGGGATACGAACAGCAACATCTCATCTCGACCCGTCGACACTCAGAACCAACCAATCACAAAGCAACCGACCAACTGGGACCAAGAGACAGTGAAACAACACAAGCGGCTGCCTGTTCAATCAGTCAGCAACTGGGAACAAAAGGAGTGTTCCGGGGGAATTTGTACTTTTAACGTTATAGTTTTTACTCTCTGTCTCTTTGGGCTCAGTACCGACTTTACTCTTTGATGATTTTTTTGTTTTGTTTTTTCTTCTTCGGGACATGCCTATGATTGTGGACACAGAGTCCAGTGTTTTTAGTGCTCCGGGATTACCCGATGAGACTCTGTCCAGCCCCCCCAACTTACAACTCAGAGCTCATGGGAAACGTAGGCCCACATCTCAACCCACCAACGGGCGAACAAGAGAAAAAACTTTGGCAACATGTGCTACTGGACCTTACCCTCCCCACCCAAACTCCCTCCTGACCCCCTCCCCCTGCCTCTCCTCCACCCAGCTCCAACCCTCCTTATGTAACTAATGTGTGTTGTTTAGGCCCCTCATTATGCCTCAGAAGAGAATTATTAATTTTTTCTTTCGATCTTTAGTGTGAATGAACTAAAATGGATTATTGACTTATATATATTTATCATTCGTCAAATAAAAAGGAAAAGATTGCTCATCAGTTATAGTAATCTTGAGTGGGTTTTAACCCTTTCCTGGCAATAATACATTCAGTATGACGGCTGTCACAGTTGCAGTTACAGGATTTCGCCACATGAGGGCACTTCTACACAGTGTGAGGGATTTCTTCTGCCGCCTGTGACCATTGGAAACCACAAGTTGCTCCAATATATTTTGAGTGATTATTTTTGTAAGCTGTCAGCAGTAAACACTACACAAACATTCACTTTATACATTGATTGTAGCTGAATTTTGAAGTTATATGGATTTAGAGGGAGCTGCCAGCTAAATATTGAACTTTTTCTCTTTAGTTATTACGAGTTGGTGATGTGTCCGTGTGACTGTGATATGTGAAGAAGGAAACATTTTTTATAATCATAAAAAAAAAATAATGATAATGAAGTTTGTGTGACTGCATCCGACTCTTCTGTTGACATTTTCTGATGACAGCCAATGGACGACCGATCTCATCTTGGTGGCAGCAGCGTACAGATTGTGACCCCCTCCCCCTTCGCTTCTTTGAGCACATTTCACACTGAAGACAGGAAAGGGTTAAAGCAAACTTCATTTCTTAATGACTCAGGAAAACACTTTTTTGCAGATATTGTTTATTCCCAGAATTTTGTCTTTGAGAAAAAAAGAAAAAAAAGATAAGACTAATATCTGGTTAGTCTGGATATTTTCTCCTCCCTCATCCTCTCCATTGTGGTATTTTTATATACAAGGCGCATCCCACGTTTTTTGGTGTTAAAGAGTTTTGAAGAGTCCTGTTAGATTTGTATTGCCTAGTTAAATGTTCCTATAACCATAGTCCTATGTGATCCACCCTCTCTCTTCTCTCCTTCTTATATTTTCTTTGTTCTATTGAAGGCCAGGTTCTTTGGGGCATCCTGTACTCTGTAAGAGCAATAGCAGAAACTCCTACTTAGTGTCCCAACAATAGCAGAAGAGGCAGCCAGCAGTATGTTTTTGTTTTTAGTGTGAGTATTTGTATTTGTTTCTTGTACAAGGTGAACATTTAGCATTCAGTGCAGTTCAAATAAAAGATACGATTCTGAGAACCAGCTGTCTGTACCAACACTTTTTGTCCTGTTATGTTGTATCAGCAGAGCAGTGTGTTTCATTTTCTGACGCTACCTTCCTTTTTCTGTAACCTTACGTGATGTGTGTTATCCTTAGTTTTATTTTTTACCATAGGGCGGCGCCAGAGTAAAAACAACTCCTGATAAAAATAAATGTGACAGCAATAAACCCATAAAAATAAACCAAATTGAAGCTAAAAGTTTAAAATGTGAGCTCTCAGGGGTAAAAGGTAACCTTGCTAGGCTGTTTGATACCATTACAGCTTTCTTACAATGGAGAGAGCAGCTCTGTGTTGCGGTTTTGAATCACAGGATGCTCCCAAGGGGGTGATGACAGAAATACAAATGTGTGACTTTGGCCTAATTCTTCCAAAACCGCCATGTATCTGTAGCTCTTTTCAAAACAGGCTTCAACTTCGCACTTCAGAGGGATCCATCCTGCTGCGATATGGACTATATTTAGACGGTGTGAGTTTTATTGACTGGGTCCGAACATGCAAATCAAATGTTAAAACATTACCATCCAGCATCACTCTCTGTGTGTGTGAACAGGCTGTGGTTTTACTCATCCAAACATCACAAAAACGAGAAATTCGAAAGAAAAAAACAACAAAGAAGATGCAAGTGAGTCAAATTTAATATTAATGCACTCTATAGAAAGAGGCAGAGTGTTTGGTTTTCTCTTTTCCCCACCAGCATCACCACCACCCACTCTAACATGACAATGAGCTACTAAATCACACGTAAAAATGTCAGTAAACTTGTACGTCCTTTTTCCCCTCCCCTCACAGAATGTAGGTATAATCTGTGCAAAATAAAATACTTCAAGACTGAATGGATCAAACAGAACACAGATAAAACGGGGCCAAACAAAAAGGGATCGCCTCCGCGCGCTAACTCTCCTAAACAAATAAATAAATCCAACATCAGAAGGGGGTTTGCAGAGGGATCAGCGTTCAGGAAAACAGGTGCTCTTTAAACCTTTAACATACACACACACACACACAGATTAGCATCCTCTCAGTTTTAAGCAAAATTTCTGTCAGGCAATTCTGTAAATGAAATTTCTCATCTAGTGCAGCTTCGGGATTTCCTTAAATAGAGTATATTTTCCTACATGTCCTACTATTTCTCTCAGGTTGAGATAATTACTTTGATAACAAATAAGGAGAAATCTGCGTATAGGAAGGCAAACTAAGTGGACTTGATGTGCTTTCATAGGAGCAGTAATCAGGATTCTGTTTGTTGGTGCTGGTTTTTTTTCTATCACAGAGCTCACAGAACACATGCATTATTACAAGTTAAAGATTTACATTTTGGAGAAAGGAAAAAAAAAAAAAGAAATGTAGATAGTAAGGTACTCTCTCAGAGCCTACAGTGTCCAGTCTTTTAAGAGCTCCTTTTTTCTTCTCCACCTCCGCTCGCTCACTCATCTTCGTCCTCCTCTTCCTCGCCGTCGGACAGAGAGGCACAGGGGCGGATCTGGCGATATCTGTCCAACCACTTCTCCACCATCTGGGTGACCAGGGGGTGGTTACGGCGGCGGGAGCTCTTCTGCATGGCTGCCAGCATGCCTCCTTCTGTCACGCAGCAGTCCAGCCATTCCCTCAGCAGCTTCTCCTGCTGCTCCTCGTTGCCCATCTGAGTCGCACAAACATGCAGTTACTTGTTAAGGATGCAAAAATGGGACGTGTTTAAGATGAAGCTCCCGGTGACCACAGTTATGTATCACAAACATGAAGTGCATTCTGGAAGCAATTTGTGGTAACTGGACACCACAAGCTGCACATGATGCTCATCATTTTTTTTAGCCCAATTTTTTTTGTAAAAAGACAAAAAAAAAGCATACTGGTTTTGAATGGTTTTCAGATTTTATGTCCTCATGTATACTGCGCTTTCTCCTGCATGTACAAAGCAACTACTATGACTAACACAGCTCATAAATTATTAAAGTAATATGTCATACCTGGTAAAACGGGGAAAAAATGTGAACAAGCTAATTATTAGAGGTCCTTTTAGTATGCAAGTTTAAAGAAGTGTGAGTTTTTATCTTAATATAAAAATCTAAAACAAATTCCCAAACTTTTGTTTTTGAAAATAGAAAACAAAGATGTAATTTCTAGCTGTATATCACAGTACCTCTTGTGCAGACAGGAAGTGAATGTGCAGCAGCTTCCTCTCGCTGTCCACCAGCGGCAAGAAAGTGACCGTGACATCGTCGTCAGTATTGAGGTTGGCGCCCGCACCCCGATTGTCGTAGCCGTCGTTCTCCATGGCCACCAGGGCCGAGAAGTGTCCCCGCGTGTAGCCCAGGGCGATGGGGCTCTTCCAGCAGAAACTCTGCTCCCATAACAGCGGCAGGTACACTCCTAAAAAACACACAAAGCAAGTCAGACCAGCTGGGAGTTACTGTAGGCCTCGACACTCGAGCCACCTGGGCGGAACAGGCCCTGCAGCTGTACTCTCAAATTGCAGTGCGTGTGAATGTCAGTCGAGGCCAAGCACCATCTCAAATCTGACCTGACATCAGAAGTGGCTGCGTTTCAGCCGACTGAAAACAACTGGCCCATTGTGAGCAGAGGGCAGCTCTGCGGTGCAGCCTTGGAGCCCTGTTTCTTCGGGAGTACACATTCCCTCCAACGTCTGCCTGGCTGACTTCCTGCTCCAAACGCACACACTACCGCTCACCACACACTTAGTGTGCAATGTAGACTGTAGAAGCTATGGCTCCCGTTCTAAACATACTGGAGTTATTCTCTGGTTATGATGACCTGCCAGACAGCACCCTGATTTGAAGGGATGTGTGCTGAGTCAGCAGAGGATAAAGATATTCTGTGTTACATAGCGACTAAGCACCCCAACTGTGCTCCCTCTTGTTTTGACACAACTCCAGCTCATTTCTGCCAAGTTATGAAGAGACTCAAGGACCTTATTTCATGTTGTAGGTGTACAGTGTTAACTCCATGATAGAATGAATGGCTTTTATAAAGACACAGTCAGTACACTGTGTGAACCCATGTGACTTAGAGGGTCTGTTCATCCTGAATGACCTCTAGAGGTGTTTAACTATGCAGATAGTTTTTAATTTGATTTGCCCAGCTTTTGAGATATTTGTCTCTGAGAATTCTGCATCCACTCCAATCCAATGGAGGTCAGTGGAATTGCATGTTACGGGCTGGGAGCACTGGAAAAATACTTGTCAACACATCTAATGGGCACTATTTCTTCAGCAGAAAGCAGTTCCAATGAAAACTGTTTCCAGAGAAGGTCTGTGGACAGCAAATAAAGTCAAGCTGGAGGTAATGCCACAAGAGGTAAGAGAGAAAACATGTCTATGTGTAACTACGCTTAAAAAAAAAAGAAAAAATAAAGAAAATCACTTAAAATTTTAATATTTGCAGGGTCCTTATATAAATGACCATTAAATTCTCCCAGGTTTATCCAGTTGCTGCCTCACCTTGAAAACGAGTGTATCCTAACGTTTCCCCACGGAAACTTTTGTAGTATTTCACTCCGTAGACTATGATCGGTCTTCGAAGAATGTGTGCGAGAACAAAAATGTGGGTCTGCTCCAGGCTGGCCCCGGGCTGAGTGGAGGAAAAAGAGAAAACAAAGAAAAACGACACATCATACAGTAGTTGTAATTTCATGGACTTCCCCCAATTGTACATTGAATATTAATAGAACTAAAAATAGTGAAGAGGGCTGAGACTGCCAAGTACTGGGATCATATTGCAAAACAGAGTGTCCTGCACACTGTGAACCTGCAATGCTGCAGCTTTTCAATACGTCTGCCACCCGCTCTCCCTCAGTTGTACTTGAATAAGCAGAAAGCAGACTGCGGAACTGCTTTTAAATGCACTACAGCCACAATGATATTTCATGTTAAAAAAAAAAAGAGGGCTTCAAAGTCATCCACACTTATTGGATGGGATATAAAAACGCTGATCTCATCCTTTGGATCTCATCTCTCCATCACTGTCAACCCTCTGACGGGGTTATCACATGGTAGCTTTTTTTCTGCGTTTGTTTATGCTGCCGGTGGAGTGGCTCTCTGAGCTAAATGCCTGTAATCCCAAGGTCACATGTTGGGAAGGAGTGCTGCTTCAGCAGACGTGCCAGCCAAGCAGATGAGCTGTCTGTCAATCTACAACGCCATCTTAGGGGGATCTATAATAATTGCTCATGTCGTCCCCGTCATTCGCACATACGATCCCTCTTCACCGGTGCTACTCTCCCCAACTGTGTCTCCCACTCAGTTCAATGCAACTCAATCCCATTCACTCTGTTGGAATGGAGGTTAATGAGCAACACCCCAAAAGAAGAGCTGATACTGTACATACTGGGTATCAAATTGCTTTCACCATTTTGTGCATTTATGAGCATGTGTATTTGTGAGTGTGTTGACAGTGGAAGATTTGTGCAGCTACAACTTGGTGTCCATATTTAGACCTTCTACCTCACAGTGTGGATTCATAGTTTGAGTAGTTAAGTATTTATGAAGATCATACAGTTTAAATATGTCTCTCCGTCTCTCACTTATTGTCTGTATGTTCCAAAGCAAGCTGGACTTTTTGGTCTGTCCATTTTAACGCTTTAACACATTTATTTGGCAAAATTGCAGTGAAAGGACATAATACAAATGTAAATTAATATCCACAATTAAACTAAAACATGGCCACAGCTGGTGTGAACCTACAGCAAGTTAAATGCACACTGTAGAGTTTTTGACCAAGCAATGTTTGATGAGCAGATCCCTGTTTTGTTTGTATCTCACACCCTCCACAAATGCAAATGTACAGTACACATACACCAATAATCAACATTATGACCACTGACAGAGTCTGTTAGATACACACTCTTGCCGGCTGCAGTGGAGAAAAAAAAACTACATTGTGTTTTGTTGAGAAATACTGTATATAAAAATATTGCTTGTTTATAAGAAAAATCCACAGGGTGCCTCTAACCAGGAGGAGGATTTTCTTGTTTGCCGTTTTTCTCCCCCAACAGCAACAAAACAATAAAGGAGACGGTACAAAGTTTGTTCTTTTTGTGCAACAGATGAGGAGTATACATTTCTAAATGTGTGCCAGGCAGTTTAATGATCTTCTAAAACAAGTCACAGTCACTAAATAATTAACTTGGTGCCATTTCTATTATTGGCCAACATGTGAATTTCCCACAACCAAAAACACACATCCTTTTGGTCATAAACCTGCCTTTTTTTCCTATTAGAATGCATCACATTTATATATTGCATTTTCTAAGTACTTCTATAGGTTCAGCACTACTTCTATTCCCTCACCCTTTTACAAAAAGCCCAAACACACTGTACCAGGCCATTTTCTGTCTTTCAGTTGATAGTGAACTACTGGAAGGAAGTGAGTAAACCAGAAGGAACTTCATAATTACCTGGCTGGCCAAAGACAGGATGAACGCCCAGTCCTCCTGCCACTGCTCCTCTCTCAGGGAGAAATGCAAACCAAAACTCTGCGAGTACCATGACTCCCACTCCTTCCAGCGTGTGTAAAACCTAAAAGAAAAAGCTACATATTAGACTATCATTTGAATTCAATTTCACACTACTGCCACTCTGCTTATAAAGCAGTCATTTATTTATATGCACTGTTGTTTATTTATCCTTCTACAGTGTATCTCAACAACCAGATTTTTCTGAAGTAGTGCACGGAGGACAAACATTTAACATTCACGAAACAGTATTTGATGTAAAAATCAACCTGCTGTAATATAAAGTACAGGTAAGACATGAAAGAGATGCTTTCTCTTTAATAAGTAATCAAACATCCTGTATTTGACTATGTGAGGGAAGTATGTAAATATCCTGAGGTAATGCTTCTACACTGAGCCTCCAAGTCAAATTACCCAAAGCACCACACTCCAGCAGGCATGACTGCACTGGCAGTCCACTGGCTGCTGACAACTAAGAAACCTTCTTTTACATTTTTACTCAGGAGAAACATATCTATTAAATTAAGTACAACTTCAGAATTTAGGAATCTGAAAGCCAGAAAGACTTAAGACTCTTTGATGATCAAATTATTAAAAAAAAAAAAAAAATCAATGTTCACCTTGACTTAACTGCAGCATTTATGTGAGGAAGACATTTTTAATGTTCCAAATCGTGTTTGGGGTGGAAGCTGTTTCAGCCCAGCCTTCAGTTTTAGGGCTTTATTTCCTACAAAAATCTAGGTCGACCTGCTCCCCCTTTCTTTTTATGGAGATGACATACAGCTCTATTTTAAAAGATGAGGACTGAGCAAGTTCTGTGGAAACTCAAACTCAAGTTGGATGTTGATTATGATAGAAGTCAGCTCATTCAAGTAACTTAAAGCCAAGTGCATCAAATTGCTGTAAAGTTCCAAACCACTTTGGATAGATGGTGTTTAGCACCAAATACATTACAGTATTTCAGCTAATTTAAATGTTTTCTAGATTTACGTGACCATAGTGGCTCTGTGTAGTGTTTGTTTGTTGTAGTGTCTCACCAGTGGGAGCAGTCATGCAGGCTGTCATGGAGGGTCTTGCGGAGAACAGAGTCCTTGTCGTAGATGCCCCAGGTGGCCTGTAGAACAGAGTCCAACAGACAGTCTCCGGCTGTGCGGTTCCACAAGGCATACAGACGACTGTCCAGGCGTGTGCCCAGCTCTAGAGACCAGTTGATGACAGGAGATTCCTCTTCCAACTCTATATACAAACAGACAAAATGCATGAGTCGTGAGGGCACCAAAAGGACAGGTTCTATAAAAGTCGCTCTGTGTGTTCTGTTTTTGTCCAACTTCGCAGTGAAAAAAACAAGGGGGAACTTCTCCAAGGGAGACAGGAAGATGATTTTTAAGTTTAAACATTTTAGATGAGAAAAACATGACAGGGGTTGAACTTCCTGTCTCTTCCTCTGCTGACCAATGAGTAAACAAGACTGGGTTTATGAGAACAAGCAGAATTAAAAAGAGGATGAAAAAAAAAGCTGAAAAGCTGATCGTCCTTAATCTGTTCACAAAAACTCAGCATGGGATGCAGAGATGCTGTGTTGAGTGTTTCAGACATGCAACTGCTGCAGCTGGTCGGTATGGAAACAAATTAAGAGTCGCATAACCTGCTTTTCAGCATTTTTATGTCCTTGTGTAGTATTATTAAACATACCTTTACTGTTTCCTCAGCTACTTTCTATGCAAAAACCAAAAACCTCTCCCCAGTAACCCAGTTTATGAAGGCTTAAATAGGTCACAAGACTCCTCTGGTACAGTCAGTAAAACACACCAACGCAAATCTATGTTCACAAGCATTCACACACAGAGTGCAGTCCTGGGAACGTATCATTGGTTAAGTGTATGAGGGAGGGAAACCAGTGAGCTCAATTAACCTAATTAGAGAGGGTATAGACGATGAACCAGGAGGTGGTGAGCTGGCTGGAGACGGAAAAGCAGATGTTGGTTTTTAGACACAAGTCAGAGGCAGATGATGAATCACAGGTAACCAAAAGCCAGCTGGACTAAAATAAATGCAGAGTGGGGATACGTGCAGATACCAGATATGAACATGAAAAATCTCGAGTACCTTTCTGCACATCTCGATCTAAAACTTCATCAAACAGCTTCTCTTGGACAGCAGGCGGCAAGTCCTCTATATCTGCAAAGACACACGGGAAAGATATTATGTTTTCGTGCTCATTATAAACCAATGGTACACAATACAGAGGGCAACACAAACGCTACAGTAATGACACACAGAGGGGATGTTCTTTGCAATTCCATTCATTGGCTGACATTTTGTCAATGGCACACTGTAAACGCAAGCTCTGTACAACATGTTGTGTTTCTGTGTGTATTGAACTGTGCACACACAAAGCCAGAACACTGGTGGCTATTCTCTGGCTCAATAGTGAATGGCAGTGGCTTTGTCTGAAAGAGAGAGGCAGAAACAGAGGGAGAGCATCCTGCAGCTGGCCTCGGGCCAAATTCTGTCTGCAAAGAAATACTTGGCATAACATGGAAAAAAAAAAAATCAGATCTATCAGTGAAGCCTGCATAATATTTTATCCCAGCGGCACTGGCAGCTCTGAATCAGAATACATGTCATTTCAGTGAAGACACAGGGACGGGACACTGCTGCACAATGAGGATAGCTGACATTCCTTGACTTTTCCAGTGAGGAAGGAAAAAAAAAAATATTCAAAGGTTCCCCCACGGAAATTCTGTACATTTATACTGTTTAGGGGGAAATTCTACAAATGCGCATGACATTTAAGCATTAATATGAGCTGAAAAATTTCTATTTTTTTTTCATTCTACCCTTGCAGAGTAAATGTATCCTGACAATTGTTGAGACTGCTTTTAATCTGAGGTGTTTATTGGGGCGGAGCTCAGTGGAGACCAATAAAGCTACATTTAATTTAGGGATAAACAGAAAATGTTAGATTACACATGCAGGGGAGTAAGTGATGTGACCATCGAGATATTGCACGTACCTGCAGGCAGGGTGAAGGTGACCAGGTCAGTGAGGAAGTAACAGGCAAAGTCTCCCTTGCGTTGGTGTAGTGATGCTGCAATTTCCCTGCGGATCTGCTCCGTCAGTTCAGGACACACCATGGAGGGGATGCACTTAGCTGCCTGCTGGCTCACCTAAAATACATACACACAGATTAGTCGGTAATTAGAAGTGTCTCCACATCAGTGTTTTGATACTGACATTTTGACTTGAATTGGATTAGTGTATTTCCTTCATTTGGACATAAAAACGGTCATGTATTCATATTATAACTGTTACAATAATACAATTATGTTGTATGTTATGTGTAGAATTATCCCTCAGCCCTCCTATTTAGATACACTCAGTTACCAATTCATTAAGAATACCTAGCCAAAAATAATTAAGACTAATATTATTACTAATAATATATTTTTAAAAACTCATTACTGCAATAAATACTAACCTACTAACCTAAGGTTAATGTTAAAAAGAGGTGTCCTTTCTGAAGTTGTATTTTGTAGTTTTCTTTTTTTCCAATTTAGTCTAACCTCATTGATATAAATGGCATACCTAATAAAGTGGCAACTGGGTGTAGATAAAAACTAAAATACAATACTGTACATGTATGCATTTGTTATATTGAGAATGAATTGTGCCATACGCAGTAAAGAGGCCACCTTTCACTTCCAACCTGAGTGACTTCACAGTGCAGCTCTCTGTGCCTTTCCTAAGCATTGGTTGCCGCCCTTGCAAACCACATCATCTCTGTGTCATCAGGTCCATTAGGAACCAGTGACAGGACTGCAGCCAGGCTAATCCTCCACCTAATCCTCAAAGTGCACTTCTGCTGTAATTATGGGCATTACAGGCCTCTGCTATATATCGCCTACTCTGGTACAGAACAATTATAGACTGACGTGGTTGATGAGTACAGAATGGCATCAAAATTGCAGCAACACTTCAGACGTTTTTCAGACTTTGAATATACTGCACTACTTTAAAAGGAAGCCACAAGATTACTGGTAGTTACCTATTTCTTTTTATAACACCGTAATCTTCAAATTTTGTTGGAGGAAAATTTACAAACTGACTCCACTGTTGATTCTGCAGTTTGCTGCATTCACGTGAAAAAAATGTGTGTGTACAGAGGGACAACCTGTCGAATAAACTCAGTGTATTTTTGGGTCAACCTGCTCAAAGAAGATGGTGTAGTAGACAAACAAAATCCATCAGGACGCCTACCTCTGTGAGCAGGATAGCTAACATGTCCTGCCTCTGGAAGCGGATGGCCAGATGGACCAGGGTGAAGCCTACATCAAACGCAGAGGACCGGTTGAGGAGCTGCACCTCGTCAGCAGTGAGCTGCCGGGCGATGTCCCCGCCGGATGATTTGTAGGCTTCTATTGCCGCCAGGTCTCCCTCCACCACGCCTGCAGCCGGGGGAGGAAGAAGGAAGGTCAGAAAATAGGACACAAACGTTGGCACTGAAACATAAAATTTGAGTGCCTCAATATACAGTCGCCTTTCCAGGAATTCATGCACAGAGGCTATTGAAGTTAGCCAGAGGTGACACAGAAGGAAGAAGGAACAGTGCTGTTCAGAAAAGCAAGCAATTCCCATTCAACAGCTAACACAACTTCAAGTACACCACACGGCACATAAACTCTCAGTTTATTAGGTACAACATCAACGAGGGAAAACTAAATTAGAAAAACTGTATAACCACTTTCACTCAACAGCACTTCACAATACAACCTCAAAATTGGAACCATGAAGTTTTGGACTCAACACTCTCTATAAAAACAATTTCACCAAAAATAGAACATCCATAACCTTCATGCACGCTGTATTTATTACAGGGCTGTTGCATTAGGCCGCATTGGTTTAAGCTAATGTAGTGCATGTGAATCTACCATGCCAAATACTAGTGTTCCTTGTATAAAAACATCTGCAAAGAAAATAAATTAATGTAGGAAGACATGGGAATCCTTTTAAAACAGGCCTAGTCTTTGTAAATGGATTAGACTGGCTTTTGGTGCAGTTCCAACCCCATGTCCTTGCTTGTAATAGAAGCAAGATGTAACAGACAGTTTACCATGTTCAACGTCTGTGCTAATAAATCATACTGTTATCAGTCACAACCAATTAATATTAAAATCTGGGAGGAATTTATATAACAAATTCAACTAGAGGAAAAGAATTCAGAGTGAGCAGAGCTCTTTAGCTCTTGACGTCAATCCACAATTCAGATGACCTCTAGATGTAGCCACTAGCTAACCCAGTGTGAGAACAGTTATCACACTGTCAGGCTACTGCATAGCAGAACAGACACAGCAGTGTAGCTTATAATGCAGAGCTATCAGAGTACTGTGTCAAACAGAGGACAGTCTGTGCAGATTAGCGTCCACCCCCTCCTTTGGACCTAGTAGTCTCAACATCTGGTATGAGTGAAATGAGTGGCAGCTAGGTACCACGCTGCACACTGAAGCGCTGGCTAATTTTAATAGACTGGCTTATGAGAGGATGTTGCCCAAGGACAGTTACCTTGACAGAATCTGAACTGGAACGTGCCAAGAACACCCAGTCTCCTTTTGCACATGCTGGGCGAACAGAGATCCGTAAATAGATGCTCAATTGATTTTGGCAGCAGTCTAGTTAATGCCATGCTTGAGACCTCGTAAAAAAAAAGTGAAGAATGTGGCGACCTGTTTTGCAGTGTATGAATATAGGTCACACAATAATTTGCTGGGTCAGAACTGTCATGATGGAAACAAGACCTAAACCTGTGCCCGAGTCAACATTAAGTATGCTTGACTCTGCTGCTGATGTGCAAAAAACACCCTGATGATGTACACAGTTAAACTCCAGCCAGGATCTTTGTTGTCACACTGCTCTCTCTCTCTTCTTCCTTGTTGTCTGTCTGCCTCCATACTGTGCTATCAATAAGGGCAAAATGAAATGGTGGAATTACTCACAACTGGACAAAAAGGCAATTTGTAGACAGTGGGTAATAACAAGAACATCAAATTAAATACTGACCTCACTCTTTGCCAAACAAAAATGTGAAATAGGAGGTAATGTTCTAAAGATATAGTTTGATTGACAGTCGTTCGTGTAACCTGGTCAGCAATTTCATCTTCAGGATCACCTTAACCCTGTATTTGCAGCATGTGCAGCTGTCATTCATTATGACATCATTTCTGATACTCTTACTAACTGCCACAATAGTATACTATGGAGATTAGTACATACTTTAAAGTATTAATACATTGTGTGGAATTAGGACACATTTTGAACATTTTACCAACAACCCATTATGCCGGGATCGGTCTATACAATATCAGCCCCAAAATGACCTTAACCCTGAACATCAGGCATGACAATTTGTTGTTCCGTCTCATGGAGTATGTAATGATTGAACCAATTTTGCAAGTACGATTCCTCGTGAGGCCCCTGGAAAAACTAGCATGTCAGAATGTTTTGTCTTTGTCTTCAGATTTGACAACATTTACTGCATAACGTCCCTGTAGTTTGTTTATGGTCCCTCCTGTCAGATCAGTTTTGCACATCGTGCAGGTCGTAACAACCAAGTTCACAGCAAGACCACAGTGACCTATTGTAATCTGACGTAGTGGCCCTCTGGACAGACATTAATGTTGTGTTTTTGTTCGAACTAATAATATAACTGACATTGCCAAACTTTATAGCCCAGAAAGAGTTTCTCTAAACTGACATTACCATTTTTGGCAGAATTTTATAGTCATGGGTGGCTTTTTTTTTTTTAGCCTCAGATAAAAAGATCTGCCAGATGTGGTCAATTACGTGAAAGCAAACACAGGATCACACTAGTCACATAAACTGTACATAACATAAGCAACTATAAGCCTAACATGTTTAAAACAGACAAACACGATCTGCGACTGCAAGACTCGCCGGGTGATATTTTTCAGTGAAACAAAAGAACAATATTACACAAACAGAGTCGCTTCCTTTTGTGGGAAAGTAGTATCGGCAGATTTTGGCCGAAACACAGACCACTGAAAAAACAGTCGAGCAGAAATGTGTGGAAACAGTAGAGCAAAGTGAGATCAAGTTGTGAGACCTGAGGAAGTGCTTGGCTTGGCCATAATGTGCAGCTCAACTCAGGCACTTCCTCCATTGACAAACACTTTGAAGAGCTCAACTGTCACATGAGCAACATAACTGAAAAAAAGTCAGCATACATTGTATGAACAAAAACAAAAGGCCCAACATGAAACAGGCTGTATATGTCTGTGTCAGGTAGATGTAGGACAAAGATGAGTCATGTTCTCTATTCCACAACAACAAGCTGGAGAGGACAGTCAGTGCAAAGGTCAAGTGAACACAGATCATGTGCTGCCTTCGTGCAATTTTGCTTTTTTTGTTGTTGTGTTCATGTCTTGTCAGGGCTATTTTTGCCTCCTGGAGGCCCCTGGTCAGCACATAAGCGCCACTGTTTACAGGGTCTGTTGACTGCGAGCCAGGAGAGTCTCTGGTCCACCGGCTCCGCTCTCACTGCGCTGCCCAGACGGCCCATTCATCCCCACCGGCTGGGAAGCACTCACACCCTCTCAGTTTCTCAAAGACACTCTCAGTGGCATAGCAAGGGCAGCTAGGGGTTCAGTGACGAGTTGGATCCAATTCCTACTAGCCATTTAGTGACACATCTTTATTATGCTGCCATTCAGTATCATTTATGCTTTGTTGATGATGAAGTATCATCTCACTACAGCAGATATTTTCCACCTGAAAGCACTACTATGTGAAATTAAACCCCTCTCGCGGAGCTTGCCAAGCTCATGTTTAGCAAAATTCCTGTTGTACTACAATATGTGGAGTCTAAACAAGGAGACAATTCGAGCACACCAGTATGTAGCCTTGGCCTTCGCGCCATCTGCACTGTAATAAGATAAAACTAAAGGTTTTGCCATCGGGACAAAAACAATCCAACGGTGGCCTCTGACTGGAGCACTGCGCTTTGTCATCACTGAGCATGACATCATGGAAGGAAACAAAAAGCTGGTGTGACAATAGAAGGGTTGTTACAAGGAAGATAATGGGACAACCGTATAGATTCTTTGTACAACGGAGTCTCTTCAGGGAACCACACAGGGAAAGGAGGGAAAAAGTACTTTCACACATAAATCAGCATCAGGGATACTCGATTTGTAATCATTACTATGGAACACACAGGAGATACAAGAAGCCAAGAATGTAAAAAAAAAAAAAGCATGCTTCTATTTATTATAATTATTGACTAATTCATTGATTTTTTGATTTTTTTATCTTTTTTTTATTTATTTAGTGATGGACAATTTAATCTAGAAAATGCCAAAAATGTGTGAATAATAACAACACAAGTTCCCAGAGCATCCAAAATGAAAAGCTTGTTCTATCCAACCTACGGTCCAAAACCCATAAATCTATTTTGTTTACAATGATGAGACAAGGAGCAAATCCTCACATTTTGCACAGGCAGGAATAATATGTTTGGCATTTTCCCTACAAACGGCTTAACTGATTATCAAAATTGACGATCAATTTTTCTGTGGATTTACTAATAACTTAATCACTTTAGCCCTTGTAATAATGTATAAACACTCACCAGCACACGCGTTGAGGAACAGCCAGTCTGTTTTCCTCATCCGGTTTCTAATCTGCTTTAGCTTCTTGAAGTCGACCTCTTGCTCCTCTTTGCTGCTCATGGCTCCAGCTGCGAGCTCTATCCTCTGGAAGTCCATTTTGACATTGTCTTCCCTCTTGGGCATAGGAGGGGACCTTCTTTGGCCCTGACCTCCACTGCAACTGCTCCTCCATCGAGCCCGATCCTGCTCATTGATCGTGGGTGTGGGCTCTGCGGACTCTGCGAGCTCTATGGCTTCCTGGTTGTTGGGCTTGGGGTGGTCGCACACCACACACTTTGTAGTTTTGGGCCAGTTCTGGTAAGTGCAAGCTGCGCATGTCCAGTGCTGCTGATGGGTGTTGAGTCTGTTTCTGTCATTGTACTCCTCACAGGTGTCCACGGGGGAGTGGAGAGCAGGACGGCAGCCTGCATTGGAGCCTGAAGTCTGGGGGGACTCAGTGGGGCTGCTGGTCCTCGGGCGCTGACACAGGCACTGTGTGCAACGGATGGCCCGGGGCCAGTTAAGGTAGGTGCATATCTGGCAGGACCACTTATTGGCAATTTCAGCGATGCTGGCTGACCTGACTCTTGGCCTAGCACTGGAGTCAGGGCAGATCAGGAGGCTGCTGCCACTCTCAGTTCTGGGAGGGTCCCACTCCAGACTGGGGTCCAGATCAGGGCTGTTCTTGTAAGGTTCCTCTGTGATGATGGGGCCCCTCGACCTGTGCGCGCGGCACATAGTGCACTTGACTGCAGATGGCCAGTTTTCATAGGTGCAGTAGTCACAGACCCACTTCACCTTCTGTTCCGTCATCGTGGATCACTTTGGATGGTCAAACTGTGGTGATAGATCTAGTTAGACGCGAGGCATAAACACAGCTTTGTAAATCACAGTGAAGGTCAGTAAATATGCTACACTTTTTATTGTATTGTGATTTAGATACCTAAATCAAATGAAGAGATTTGATAGTATATGCTCCATCAGTTTGTTAACTAACTTACATCTGGTCGAGTATCAATGACTCTAGCAGCCTGAGATTGTGTTGTGATTGAAACACTAAAATTGCCTCCCAGCTGTCTCTTATCATAACAGTATTGACCCTGTGTTTTTTTCCCCTGACGGGTGGTTTTATTGCGTTACAATGCAATAATGTCCCAGTGTTTAGTGTTAGCTGACTAGCCTGGGCAAGCTAACCACCTAGCACACACAGCTACCGTCTACTCCAACAGCTGACGAACATTTAACAGGACTTACAACCACCAAACATGACATTAAACGCAATATTTAAGGAAAACATATCAATCTCTTACCGTTTCGCGGATGCGCTCGTTTCTCAAGTGCTGCTGAAAACCACAACAAACCCTTCTTGTACAGCCCCCCCCCACCCTCCCCTCCTCCTACTCTGTCAAACCTTTCCCAATCCGAGTTATTTCGACCCCTTTGGTCTCTCACATGTTTACCTTCGTGGACACATTAACCCCTCGTAGAATAACCCACACCTTGGCAAAGCCTCTGCGGTCCTTGAATCATGGTATAAATCAGCGTCACTCCATGGTTTACATTGCCTCCGTGTTGTTTAATGGCGGCGACAGTGAGACAAATGAGTAGCAGAGCCAAAATAAACGCTTGCTTGCCGTCGTCACCAATCATCTGGCTCAGCGCTCGATGCGATTGGTTAAGGGGGCTGTGCTGTGTTGCCTTCAGAGCCTGTCGGAATTCTCACCACCTGCTACGACGGAAGCTTTATGAGATGTTTAAAGGGATTGGGAGATTTTATAACATGGGGTAGAATTAAGTTTATATTATATTGCAGACATATTTTCTCTTATTGTTGAGCTTTTTTTTGCCAATCATGTTAAAGCTGTAATTCTTAAGCACAACATTTTATATTATATCATTTAAAAAAAAAACATTTGAAATATCCGAGTTGATTAGAAACACTAAAAGCTTCGCTGTTGTGTTGTTGTAATGAAATTCTGTCGTTTAGTTTTTATAAATAAAACGATGTTGCAGACAACAGAACAATCTAAACTAGTTTTATGCACAATTTTATTTGCACAAAGTCTGACATGATTCCGTGAACCCTTGTTATAAATGTATTTCCTACCATAGAGTGTTTCGCACACACAGAATTGATTGAAATTATACACGGAAGTAGAAAGAAAAAAGAAGAAACGTGTACAAAAATACAAATACACGTTGTTTACATTACTAAATATATAAATAGTTGACCTTTTATTGACCTCTAAGTTACATCACTTTTTATTTTAAAATGTTGGAGCAGTATATACAGGCTATTTCATATTCTAATGCGCACTCAAATATATACACACATTATAAATGAATATCACACAGCTATCACAGTGATATTTTTTAAAGGTTCAGGGGTCACTAGAGGTTTTGGACACGCCTCCTGTCAAAACGTCACATCCAAACATGGCAGCTTACTTGAGTCGGTTACACCACATTTCACTCCACGTTTCCAACGCGGAGAAAGCTGCAAACGACCTCGTTTCTAAATTCAAGTTCAATGTGTTCGCGACCCGACTAACCCGCAGCTCCAGGCAGCTGGCTCTCAAAAAAGGAGCGGCGGTTTTTGTGGTGAACGAGCGACCAAACCAGAGATTGAATGAACAACCAGTGGGCGGTACAGGCGCGTATACCGGTGATCTGCACCGGGTCAACGTGGGGAAATACAGCCAGGATCATCCTGCAAAATGTCTGTACGATGTCAGCCCGCATTACTCTTTGGATACTGTAAGCAACGTGTGTTTCGAGGTGGAGGATGTGGAAAGGTCATTCAGGGATCTTCGCCATCTGGGATGCAATTTCCTGGTGCCTCCCACTACAGTTGAGGACGAGAGGGGTGTTGTCACTTACTCTGTGGTTAAATCTATTGTGGGGAATGTGTGCCACACGCTGATTGACAGGACAAAATACGAGGGGAGCTTCTTGCCCGGGTTTGATGTCATTGAAAAGGACTTCAGCTTGGAAGAAGACAATATTTCTTGTCCAATCACTCATTTTGATCACATAACTTACGCCTGTCCCAGGAAAAGCACCCACCAGGTCATGAGGTGGTATGAGATGCTCTTTGGTTTTCAGAGGTTTTTCATTGATAGGTGAGAAGCTATTTCGAGACATGCATTGTTGTATTCTCTGTTTTGTTCCACTTGATCTCAGTATTAAAGATGACTGTTCTTCTGAGCAGTAATGAAGACGTGGACGAAGGTTTTGTCATAAACCAGGGGGGCATTGGTCTACGTCTTACCGCCATGGAGTACTGGAAATGCAGCGAAGCGGGCATCGCTCTCCCCTTTGTGGACAAAAAAGAGCCTGACTGCAAGTTTGTCATTGCAGAATCACTGCCTGAACAAGGTAACAGCAGCCACTTCCCATCATTCAAGGTATTTCGTGTCCTCCATTTTGGGTTATATCATGACTCCTGCATCGCTGTGTGCTTCCCCTATTTCAGGCAGGAATCAGGTTGACACGTTCTTGGAGAAGCACAGGGGCCCTGGGATCCAGCACATTGGGCTGTACACAAAAAACATAGTGTCTACTGCACATACGATGGCTGAAGCTGGTGTCCAGTTTTTCTCCCCTCCTCTTGCCTACTACACTGAGGTTTGACTGACTCCCACAAAACTGCACAACTTATTTTCCATCAGAAATAAACAAATACTGCCTTGAAAAATGCTAGAAATGTCTGTTTTTAAATAGAGAAATAGCAGAGCTGCTCTGGCTTGTGAATTTGCAGCTACACCATGTAAAATGTACACACAGACAACCAATTTATAGTGAATCACTAGGCACCAAAGACCAGTCCATAAAAGAGATCCAAAGATTCTGGGTTTGTGGATTTGTTAGTCCTTAACAGCTCAGCTTCACTTACTTTGTATAATAGAAAATAAAGGCTTTCTTTGTCATTTCACTTGGCAAAATGTCCTTTTAACAAAGCGGTTTCTTTGGCTGATTATGACATTAAACAGTATATAGCACATAGTGGTCAGATTATTGCAAATGTGTCCTTTTCTACCATGATTATCAACTGTCTTACCTATTCTATGTGCTATGACAGGTGGGAAAACGGCAGGAGATAGAGGAGGCGGGACACAACCCCCAGATGCTGGCGCAGCATGGCATTCTCCTGGACACAGACCTGCACCAGGATCCCTCATCACAGACAGCATCCAGAGAAAACAGACGGTGAGAGGCAATCAAGCTGTAATCTCACACACCTTTTTAGAATAGCCTCTGTTCCAGACACTGAGTCTTTTGTCAGTCTTTCTAAAAAGATACGGCTGTCTCATTGGGTCTTCTGTCCATCTTCTGCTGTTCTGGATCGTATTTTTTTTTTTTTTTAAGCATCAAACAATATTTCTTTCTTATATTAACTTATTCAGTGAGTGTTGGTGAGCTGTAGAATCACTGTCAAAGCCTCATGGGAGCTCTAGTTGTTGAGATAGCAAAACAATCTGTCTTTTATTTAAGTTTAAATGATGTTAAATGATGTTAAAGGTTTACTGTCCAGTACAGGAGGACCCATTTAACTTATATGATAATATGTACATAAAACCAATGTTTTAGCTTAAAAATCCCCCCCAAGACATAAAGTAAAGGTCCAATGTGTAACATTTAGGAGACTCAATTGGCAGAAATGGAATATAATATTCACAGGTATGCTTTCATTAGTGTATAATCACCTGGAAATAAGAATCGTTGTGTTTTTGTTACCTTAGAATGAGCCATTCTTATTTATCTATATTAATATATGAATATGTACATTTTGTTCATTTCTAAAGTTTTTCTGCTGGACACAAGATGTCCCCTACTTTACTGTAACATCCATTCTCAGTGTATGTGCACTGGTGGCTTCACACACTTATATGACTTCCATACTGGGCCAGGATTCGCTTCCATAACATATCTCCTGTGTAGTGTAGGTATCAAGTCAACATGGTTCTCAAGGTCACGTAAGACCAACAAAAGTGTCCTTATCTTGTTTTTGTCTGTTTGCAGATACCTACTCCAGGTATTCACCAAGCCCATCTTTACAGAGGACACCTTCTTCCTCGAGCTGATAGAGCGAAGGGGGGCGACGGGATTTGGAGAGGGGAACATCCGGGCACTGTGGAGGTCGGTGCAGGCGCACATGGAGAACGAGAGGGGGTATTCTCGAGGAGAGGGATCCCGAAAAACTGTACAAACTGCACAGTATTAGTCACTCCAAACATTTTTAGCTGAGGTTATTTTATTTTATGTGTTTCATTTACCAATGCAAATGAACTTATTAGGGGGAAAAGGTGTAAAATGTAAAAAAAAAATGTAATTTAAAATGTATTTATGGAAGAGTTTTTCATAGGTGCCCTCTATTTCAGTCGAGTTACATATTGCACTGCTAACAAAGTACAGATTATATATTGTATTAATATCTAATTCCCAACGTGACTGAACAGATAATAGACTGTGAACAGAGTGGTTAAAAAAACAGATGGTACATACAACACTTGAAATGTTACTGCAACACATACACTTGCTGTAAAAGAATGTCTTTTCACTGTGTCACAGCAAAGCATCTGACTGACTCCAGAGCAACTGTTCCTTAATAAATCTATTACTCACAGACGACCGTGAAGAACAATTACTGTCCTCAAAATAATGTGCTCACGCGGGTGGGCCACATTTTCTTGGGTCATCTTGGGTAAACATCACCAGTGACCAGAGATGCAAAGTAAGTACGTTTAATAAAAACAAGTGCTGGTTCTTTACTTGATGTCAATTTTATGCTACTTTACACTCAAACATTTGTATACTAAAACATTTTTTTTACTCCTCTACATTTGTCACAGCTTCAGTTTTGTCTTATTGAGCTGATAACATTTCTAAATACAAAACATGTAATCAAGTTATGAAATATAATGTGTTATAGATTCAACAGTAAATAAAGTACTACAATTAAACACTATTTACACAATGTATTTGTAATAATAATTCATAAATATACCACTCACAGGGGTCATTTCTCTGCACAATGAGTACTTTTACTTACATTATTTATATTTACTTATAATAATGTCAATAGTTAAATCAGTAAGATTATGAAAGCAGAAATTTTACTATTGGAATATTTTTACATTGTTTTATTGCTACATTTACCCTATATAGATTGAACTATTGAACAAGTAGGTAACATTTCTTCCATCTGTACCTGCTATAATATTAAAAGGCTGCCTGTACTGTATGTTTAAGTGCATTTTGCTGATAATACTGTACTTACTGGATGTACAATTTGATTTAAAGTTCTTCAGTGTTCATACAAAAAGAAGAAATACTGAACACTTTATTATTAACTCAGGCCTAGAATAAAGGTCATATCCTATATTTAAAATTCTGTATTTTTAGCCCCACAGTATCCATTTTCTAAAAGGGGAGACTAAAATAGGAGTATTCGTTATTTACTTTATCATATAAACATAATAAAACTGTTCTGAGCTCAACTGGCCTTTTTGTGAATACCTTACTCATGCAGTCACTCATGAACCGTTACTGGAAGAACAGCTGCACCTCTTTCAGATGCTGAAGAGGTTTTAGCAATGTGCATGCTTTGGCAAAAACATCGCTTTAGAGCCTCTTAGAAGGGATCTCCAAACCCACAGAGATGTGCCAATTCAATTAACTTGGCCATAAACATTATAGGCATGGATTAGTGGGATAGATGAGAAGCAGTGAAATTAAGATGGAGTTCCATGAAAGCCATATGTTCTTTTTGTGTTCCGACTGTAGTTACAGTACCCACACTGAATAACTTCAGAGAATAATTTCAACAACAGGCTGCAAAAAGTCAATTTGTAAATGCATGTACTTCTTCATTTTGACAAATGGTGTCAGTGTTTTTCTTTTACTCAAGTGACACACTCTTGGCCAAACAAAACTTTAAAGAGTCAACTATGTTATTGGGATTTACGATCACTGAGAGAAAACTAATGAATTCTAGGAATGACAAACAAACTTAAATGCTGCATTTAGAATAGGTTTACTCCTGCTTCAGCTTTGAAACTAATTTGTGGTACAGAGCTACATGTTTAAACTGGATTTAAAATTGTGAATGAAAACTAATACATCTTAAATCATAAAATGGGGAATTCTGTTAGGGATGATGAAGATTAACTGTTCATTAAAGTTGATAAGACATGGCTCCTGTAACAGGAGTCCTTTAGCCATCTGTCTGCAGCCAGTGTGAACCACAGATGGCATACAGCATTCTGCATGGGGTCTCTGTACTGGGAGTTGGAAGCTCACTTCCTATTTACTGCTAACCATATGCTAGTTACAGTTACATGAACAAAGTCAAAGAGAAATGACTAAAAACACCCAAATCAAAGATTATTATATATCTTAAACACATACACGCTATGCTTCAGTTCAGTCTCGCTGATTGGTGGATACTGCCCTCTGTGGTTTTGACAGTCACAACACACACTGCCAAACTTGTTGAACTGCAAAACTCCTGCTTCTGCACTATTAGCTGTTTTGATCATCTGTTTCCATAAAAGTCATCTGTGCCTTTCGGACTACAAAACACAGAATGCAAAGTTTAGTATGTCATATATTCTGAATTTAGTTGCTAAATCGCTCACTCTCCAGACTGCTGGAGGTGTAAAAAAACAACTTGTCACCCCCACACTGTAGCTTACATAGTGGAGGAGGCAAATCCTCTGTGCCCTTTAACACAAAAGGCAGACAGTCTAAAACCGAGGAGGACAGTCTCACAGTCTGGGGGAGATTAGTGGCACACAACAGATGTTACTCCTTGATTAACAATAGTGTCTGCCAGGGGTGAGCTTCAGCTCCCCACCCTTCTGGGGCCCAGTTTGTTAACTTCAACCCCACAAAATAAATGATCTTACTGCATATGATGTGATAGGATAGGAGGGACTAAAGAATGTGCTGGTCTTTTTGCTGATGCACTTTTTTGGTAGCGTTACAATAATATCCAGTTGATTTACCTTAGTACAGTATTTGTCATGATCATAATTAGTCATTCATCAATTTTCTGATGTTTAAGGATTTGACTATGGCTGTCTGTGGCTCATAATGTATGCACAGTCTCTAAACATGTAGAAAGGTAAATAAACACACAGTTATCATATGTGGACAAGCTGTACTGGAGGTGGTTCTTAACTTTACAAAGTAAAGGGGTTGCAAGAGCTTAACAGGATAGAAAATAAGACAGAAACCTGTTGCTAATGTTTGTTTTTTTTTTCTTGTGAAATAGTGGTTTTACTTCTTCCAGCCTGTTCAAAGTATTCAAAAGATAACAAGGACACATCTCTATTTGGTGGATTAATTTTAAGTGATAAGAAGGGGGAAAACCACTAGTCTTAGTGATATCAATGTGCAGGTGACCATATGCACACATTGCACAATATGTTTGTATATCTGGACAACTTAACTCAGATGGTTAAATAATAGAATATTGAATGCTGATGGACATCGTCATGAAGCCAGAATTAACTTCCTGGAAGGTGAACATCTGTTTGTAATAAATGTATTTATGTAGGACTAACCCTGATTATACTGGACCTTAGCACTTTGAGTGGAAACTATATACTATATTTATACATTTCTCTCTGTAACACACACACACACACCTCTCTTTATATCTCAATATTGTTCTTTAAGTCACACACAGTTGGCAACTTATCATGTTCCCCAATGTATATTGTGAAAGTGCCTTGTCTATATGCTCAGCTCAAAACTGTGATTACTTTTCATTACTGCAGGGCAGATCAGACCACTGGTTGCACGGACGGGGGTTGAAGTCTTACAAAAACTCTTACAGAGATTGATATTTCACTTCCTACCATCACACGATTCAGCTGAATTTGACACGAGCTGCATGTAACGCAAATAAGCCAAATAATTAACGCCAAAGCGAAAGTTTTAGTGGTACAAATAAGTGAGTGGGCCACCCCTCTCCCCTGTCAGAAGTGGTACAGCTCGTGTATGTTGTCATACAGGCTCATTAGCGTGCAGGCTTGGACAGTAGTGCGCTGGGTGATGTTGTAGTTTGCAGGAGCCTGCCTGGAACAGGACGTGAGGTGACCTGCTCGCTTTGCTTCCTTGTTCTGCCTTTCTTCTAAAACAAAACTCAACATGGTCCAGCGAAACTAAGCAGCTACCCGGTGTTTTATTCGGAGAGGCTCTCACCGTGATGCTTGTGAGTGGTAAGTGAGTTTATTTTGTTTTTCGCTCAAATTATTAACTTTCTCTGCTAGCTAATTTAGGGACTCAAGCTAGTTCATGAAGTGTGATGCTCCTTTGTATTTCGCATGAATGGTGATTTTCTTATGCTGACAAGTTAAATTAGAAGTGAAGAGTAACACAGTAGTCCTCTTTGTGGAAACTCAACATAGCTTCAATTATTTAGCTTAGCAACTTTTTTCTCATGTGTACTGCCTTTGCTGTGCTGTCTGTGGTATTACTTACAGAAATGCAGCTGCGAACTGACTGTCTTTTTTTTTTTAGTATGTCTGCATTGCTGACATACATTGCTGTATAAAATAGATTAATAAAGAGACAATGTGATGAAATGTTAGAGGAAGTAAGTTTATGTTAAAACATGTTCATACATATGCAGAGTCTTCAAATAATCCCTGGTAACTACTAGTTTTCATGTCAGTATCAATTCATCCATCTTCTCCACGTAAGCCCAGAAAGTATGTTTGGCTTGTTTGACATCTGACAGTAAGTGTAAACCCAGTCAGATTAGACGACAAAGTGACCAAGTTTTCCACAAAGTTTAAATTCCTTGGATCAAAAGCATTTTATGTAATTTGGCTAGCTTTGAAGTGCAAACACTGTGATCTCAGACTAGGTTTTCACTCATGCATGGCACATATGGCCAGTGTTGTTTGGTGTCACTCATTAAAGACCATGTTAATACTTTGTTTTTTAACATCCTCTGGGTGCATGCTTTCATACCTGACGCCACATTATTTGGCATCCGTGTCATTTCAGTTTTTCTCAGACCCTTCTTGTATGTTACAGTTTGTGCCATTGCAGTGGAATGCTGTCTTATCTTTATCTAGCCAACCTTTCCCTCAGGTATGAAGACAGGGCTGGCTGACATACAATCCAGATTCTGGGGTTAGAGCTTGTTAAACCTAAACTCCTCAGTGTCCCATGGCCATGGTTGTGACTGCCAAAGTTCATAAGTGGCTTAAACATTCATACATTTAAAAGTTAAAAAGAGAACATAGGAGAATTGCTGTTTAAAGTATATGTATGGTTTTATTTTTTGGAGCATTTCATATTTTATCATCAGTTGCTTGTGGCCTTTCTGTTGAGTTCCAAATCCTGTTTGCTCTGTAGCCTGCGTGTAACATTCTGTGAGCTCCCGTCACACCAGTTTCTTTGCCAAACTAATTTCCCTTTCATGAGGGATTTTGGAAAAGGGGTTTAAGGGACTGTTTGTGCTGGTTACTTGGACAAGCTCACTTTTCAGGGCCTTTTCCTCTGAAACCGAGAGGCATCCACCTGGAGGGCTGGCAAGCTCATCTGAAAAACTGTTGAACAGTTTTAGTACAAAGGAGGATGCCTATCAGAGCTTGCAGATGATTCCTCTTTCCACATCCATATCACGGAAAATATTTATACAAAATTGTAAGGCTCTAAGATCCTGTGTATCATAATGGCACTGTTATGACATTGTTCAAACACTCATCCGGAAAAATGTCATTCCCTGACTTTCCCGTGTTGCATCATGTATATATGGTCAGTGGAAGTGGAAGTGTGTGTGTGTGCGTCTGGGGGATTGATCAATTCCTGCATGTAAAACTCTTTCCCCTCCACTCTTCATTTTGATTGAAAGTTAATAGGGCTGTGTCCACTGGATGTGACTTATTCTCATTTGGCTCTATTAACATGCAATGTTATTCTGCTGGAGAAGTAGATGGATGTTGTGTCTCCAACCTTTTGTAATTAAGAGACTTTGTTAGACTTTGCATTCAAGTGGACAACATTTCTCTCCAACTTGGACAGGTGTGTTGAAAGCCTCGATTACAGAGCTCAACAAAGCACTTGTTCAGGACAAATGTATACAGTGCAAGTGATTATGTATGAGATAATTAAACAGCAGGCCTGCTTTAAAACGTAGGCCTCCTCGGCTGCCATGCATAGCCATGCTGAGCCTTTGTGTTTATGGTAAGTGGGCAGCTGCATGCCTGTGAGACCTTGGCTGTACCCCAGGCCTTCAACTGAGCCTGATAACTACTATTGAGGCCTCTCAGCCATGCCTCATTTCTGACTATTCACTCACTGCTTTAAATGTAGAGTGTGCCTCCTGTTTGACATAGCCTAATTTCTGTGAACATGCGGACAGCTGTGGGCTGGCCTGCACCCCTACAATGCGTTTCATACATTTCTTTTCACTCAGTCAGCCGTGGCAAAACTTGGTGGCACCTGCCCTTTGTTATTAATGACAATGATAATTAATGACGACACCGACAAAGACAGTTTGGGGTTTCAAAAACTTCAAAAATGATGCACAGTGCAAAAAGAATAAGAACTAGTTTGCCAATTTGTCACTCAGTTATCTAGTGTTCATGAGCCGTGCATGTCTGTCTGCCTTTTTATGACATGCTCTGTCAACACAGCCACCATTATGACGTGAGAAGTTGAGTCCAAATACGGATCATGTAAAAACGACACTAGAGCTAATAGCTTGGGGGGAAACGAGCTTAGGAGCATGCATATTTTCTCCCAGAGAATCTCTCTATGGGAGGGGAAAGCTCAAACTTTAACCAGCATTCCTTTAACAAGTGGTGTGGTGATGAAGAGCAGCACAAATCCCTCAGTTAGGTTTCAAGTCGGGCTGTCTCAGGTGCTCGGCAGATGCTCGGATTACTGACATGGCCACAATCCTGGGATTGTTGAGAGCAGGACAGATATCTGACTGCCATGCATGCAGGAATGTCAATGGAGGATGTCTGAAAATTCGACTTAACGTTTAAGCTTTTCATCACTTCACAGATGAAAGCTTTGACAAAAACATTTAAACATGGGCGATAAATAGATACAAAAGAAAAAATATATACAAAAGAGTCTTCTAAGTAGCTCACACTTGTTGCACAGTGGCCTGTACAAGGTGCAACAATATCAAACAGTGTTGTTTCCCACCAGCTGTCCAAGTGCTATAAAATGGATTAGTATTAGCTCTAATTGTCAGTCAGACACAAAGCTGCCAAATCCTTATGTAATGTTGGCCTAACCGGTGGGATTACAGCAATGTATGGAAAAGCTGCTCTAATTGGGAAACAGAGCTTTCATGGGTGACCACAGTTTTGATGTCTATTATAAGCTGACAGTCTGTTGTCTTTCTGGACCTGACTGCAATTTGTGAAACCTGGATTGTAATTTAGTACATCTCATCTAGAAAATAGAGCGGAGGTCTGTTCAGGCTTTTGGAAGTTGACTCTAAAGCAAGCATCCGCGATATAGTTGACCGATTCGACTCTGTGGTTTCCTCTCGTGTGCTATCTAGCGCTGTTTTAAGGCCTAGCAATAGCTCACTATTGCTGACACCAAAAGTAGCGATGGTTGAGAAGCTTTTGGTGACGACCACAAAGGAAACGTGGAGTCTCATCAGCTTGTCCAAGGCTGCGTATTGTTGTCTTTTAGGAAGCCCACTGTCACTGCAGACATTGTTACTGCAGAATGTTTGCATGCGATGGAAAGCCACGACTAGGGGACACGTCCTGCAACATTCTTCCTCTTCTCAGAGATTAGACTTCTCAGTTGTCACGGTGGTTCCTGCCCCAAAGCAGATAAAGAGCTATCGAGCTGCAGAAGCATAGAGGTTCCCACTGATTCCAGATAAATGCAGCATGGTTTTGGAGGTGACTCGGGCTTTGACATCAGAAGGGGAGAGGCACTACTTGGGCAGAAATTCTAGATACCTCATTAACAGATTATAGCTTCATCTGCATCTTTGAACACAGCAGTGCATTCAGTATGAGATGAGTGCATTGGGTGTATCCATTAAGCATTGGAAGTCAAGCCATGGACATGGTATGGCTCTTACATTTGCTTTACAGCTTTGTCTATACGTTGTTCTTTGCCAGCACTTCTCAGCATTTTTTCTATTCACTCGTGTCACAAGTTTGAATGCTTCTCAAAGGCCGTGGGGCTACGGGAGAATTTTATAATTGTGTGTTCAACTTATGTCATGGAGCTGAGGAATGTTTATAATTATGTTATAAACCTCGCCCATTTAAAGCACTCGGCTCAGATTTATGGGATAAAAACGTAATGCCTGAGCATGAGAAGGATGATGAACTGTTGCGATTCGCTGTAAGTAGAGTGGGGAGCTACAGTTAGACTTTTTTCCATTTTTCTAGGGAAGGATATTTTCCTTTAGTGTCCTTCTTGTTTGGGTAAACATCATGTTACAGAGCTTTTCTTGACTTTGCCAATTTAATTTCTTTGGGCGAGGTTTTTTTCTTTGTGTCAATGCCAGCTGCATCCATCACCGAGCCATTAAGGGTAATATATAAACAACAGTTTCCCCTCGACAGCACATCCTAGTTATCTCTGCTGTGAAACGCAGATCTGTGTGGTTAATGGCCAAGTACAGTATAAGCTGGCCTGACCTAGTCCAGCTCCAAGCTTTGATCACTTCTTTTCTGTTCACAGAGGGCAAGTCAAAGCTGCCAGGCGTCCCTGAACCGCGTTGATCTCCTTGTAGAACTCTGCTAAAGACAGCCTTACGTTGTCTTCCTGACGTGATAAGTGTCAGTAATGGAAATCATATGCTGAATGTAAACACCACCTCCAGTATGTCAGCTCCCTCAGCCCTCAGGGTCTTGTGATGCTGTGCACCCCCCCCCGCACACACACACTCCACACCCATCACCCACACCTCTGATGTCGCCTCTTTTGTTTCCCACGGCTGTCCCTCCATCTTCCACACAGAAGAACTCTTTTGTTTCACGTACACCGTCTTTCTGTCCCCCCCCCCCCCATTATTTTGCTGCAGTTGTTGTCCATTTACACACTCTGACCTTTGCAGGCATCCAATAACCTCCTTGTGTCCACTGCACTTTGTTAAATCCCATACACTGACGTAGCCCCAAGTGGAACTGATCTGGTGGTAAGTAAAAGTCCTCTCGATGATTTATATTAGATGTACTCTGTGGCTTAATCAGCCTGTTTTACTGTAACCCGTGGTGCAGCACTAATGGCGAGGGGTTGTTTTGATAACCGCAAGGTCAGCTATTTCCCAGCCAGCCCTGAGTATTCAATTACACAACTTTGACTTTGCTCTATTCCTCTCTGTGTGCTCCAGTGTGGAACACTTGAGGAAACTCGCTCTCTCAGATGACTGATAATCCTCCACATAGACAGGCAAGAACAAAACAATGTTATTATAGGTCCAAATTTTTTGGTACACGGCGGAGAGACCGACGGGGGAAGTGAAAATGCAGTTTCAGCCTACAGACATTACAATATGGCGACATAGGCAATGCCTTGCAAATCAAAGCGAGTGCTTGCTTCGGTAATGTTTGCTTGCCTCACTTGAGAGTTAAATGAGCTTGTCAACCACCAACCTCTCTTGAATTTCCCTTTCCAACCATTCACTATAGTGTATATGTTGAACAGATTTGCAGGAGTGACGAGGAAGACAAAGTAACTTCAGATTCCAAACAGTTCATGCCCTCTGTTTTTGTGGTGTGAGATTAGCTCGAGGGTCAATGAATACTCACCAAAGATTTTTTTTTTTCTCTTTTTGACTATCAATATGTCAAGTGCATGAAGGCTTGAAAGGTAGCTCTGAAAAGTTTGTAACTCACTCCTTAATGGAGGATGGTCATAGCAACTGCACTGGCATTGACATGTTTCATACCTCTCTTGCAGCACAATCCACTCTTTTACAGTTTCAGCCACAACATAGCTAAAGACACTGCTTCCATATACGTGGTAGCGCTATAGCCTCCTCATAGCTCCAAAACTCTTGTCAGAATTAGTGCATTTAGCAAAGCAACAATTGTTTGAAACATACAGATCAAAGGCAGAGAAATGTTGCGGAAGAGGAAGTGGAAAAGTTATTAGTGCTTTGACGTCTGGAATCCATTGTTTACTGCTGTGAATCCAGCTGATGTCCTCCACGAACAAGGAAGCTGATACTCAAAAGATAAATTTTCAGTGGAGAGAGCATTGGGTTTGCTCTCCATTGACAGCGTATGTTTCAGCACCTTCACCCAAGGGATCTGTCCTCCCAAATCCAGCCCGGATTGTTCTCTGCTTATATGGTCGACAGAATGTCAGAAATGTACTGAATTCTAATCCTGTGCTCATCTTTGTGTGTCCGCTCAGGATTGGCCAAGGAGTGAAACACATTCCTGAAAGAGTTGAGGGCTGCTGTCTTAAGCTTATGAGAAATCAGCTCGCTCGCACCATGCCCGCCAAGATGGCCGCCAGCATTTCTTGCCCTCACTGGAATGCCTTGGGACAAGGATGTGTGTTGCCATGGTGATCATATACAAGAAAACACTGGAAAAGAAGGGTGCCGACGATGTAACATCCAAAAGTACAGATTTGGGCCCGGTGAGAGGTTATTTTCTACTTGTGTAAGCATTTTCTTTCTGTGTGAAATGTGTCATTTTATGTTTATATGTCGCCCCGCCAACAGGCGTCACCTTCACCTGTCAAGGGGGAAGATGACATGGTGCTGCTCTAAATCAGGAAATTGTTGCCGGCCACTCATCACTTAGCAGTTTTATGGCTCTACATTATATTTTCCTATTTTGTCAACTTGAATCAGAGCTTAAATTTGACTTTTAGCTTCCCCTGAGTGAAATTTGTTGGAAAACTCATAAGTGTTTCCTTACTGAATGTCAGGAGGTGATGTCAAAAGAATTATTTAGATGTTTATATTCCAATTACTGATAATTGCATCATAATAGCTGCTAACTGTTATCAGCAGGGAGTTTGTCATCTGGTGTTGAATCCTATGTGTTCCATTGACTTCACTCAAAATGACAAAGGAGTATTTTAGTTCCAATAGGCTGAGCCACTGACTCATTTTCTAATCGGCATCCATGCAGTAGAACCCTTCTCTCTGTCAGCACAGAGTGAGAAAATTCCCCCACCAATGTGGACTGAGTTTGCCCTCTCAGCCACGTGAAATGAAGTCACTTCTCTGTGGCTGAGCGTCAATCAGAGGCATTTATGGTGGAACTCTCTCTGTTGATGGGTCGCACTTAGTCAACATACACTTTCGAGGCCAAATATACATACAGACATTTTGACTCTCCAGTACTTTGTGCTGTAATTTGTTGATTTATTTGACTTTTTATTGCAAGAACCTCCTATTTTTATGCAAACTTATTTACATGACGTTCTGGTTTCTGCCAAGCTGACAGTGAATCTCTTGTATTTCTGCAGTTTCAGGCACAGACCATGAGCCAGGGGACTGCACTTTTCTCTTGTGGACTCATGGGTAAGGTCTGCCATCTTGCTCACACATTCTGACCTGTAATGGTCACATCCATTCAGTAGTAAATAAATAAGTAGTAATTTAGTTGAGAAACCTTAAATAAAACAGGGGAGTATCTGTTTTAGGAACGGAATTGCTGCTTCGGTATAAATTAAACAGCATAGCAACATCTCTGAGGGCTGAAAATATTCTAACACCATATTTCTTCTTTTTGGGGCTACTGTTGTCAGTCAATGCGGCCTACTTTCCATCACAAACTAGATATGACTTCTTCCACACCAGGTAGAGGCCGGAAAACGTAAGGCGTTCAGTGGCGGCAGTGGTTGGGAGGGGATTGTCGTATTGTAACATTTCACAGAAAGTACGGGCAACAAGCCAGCCTCGGCTGCATCTGGTCGATAGTTACACGCCATTATGTCAAACATGTCTGACAAGTGTTTCTGCCAAGTTAAAATGTGTACTAATAACTATGTGTGATCGGCTTATCATTAGCAGGGATCTCATGGCACTGCTGCATGCTTCAAAGCTGAGGTCATGTTGTCCCCAAGTTAAAAAATTTGGTTATGACTACAAAGGTGCATATCCTTAGTTTACCCTGCTGTATCAATAACAGTCTTTACAGTCTTTGTATTCTAAGATAAAATGGCATTCTCTCCCTGCAGTAATTTGGCATCAAGTATGTAAGACTGTCAAAGTCCTGGCAGAGAACACAGCAGTAGGTGTTGTTAACACTGCCCTTTGTTCTTCATCCTGCCTGTGTACTGTAGATGACATTTTGGGGATTTTATATCCAGTGGAGAAGAATAGACCTTTTGCATACCAGGAGTGGGCAGTGGCTTTGACGTTGAGTGTCTGACTCAGAGTTGACTGACCAGTTCAGTTCGCTGACCCATTCAACGATTCAAGAGTGTTTCTGTTGTGGCAATAACAGGTGCTTTCCTGGGTTGGTAGCTATGGTGCTGGGGCTGTTATTCAACAATAGCAGATAGAGAGCTGATCTGATACAGAACTCTTGTAGATCTCAACAAAAGACTACAAGCTTTAGTCAGAATGTTTATGATGGGTTATTGACATTTTATCAAGCCTCACTCCAGCAGATACGAGGTTTGATATTGAGTCAGTTAGACATTAAGCTCTGTTCCCTTTCCCAATTAGCTGTGCTTACAGGCTATGACACTAAAGCAGTGCCTGGAGGACAGGATTTATTTTTAGACAAAGCAGCGAGTAGTGTCAATACAAAGTACACATGCTGGGACCAATGCGCTGAGTCGCTGACCCAGACTGGAGCAGTGTCATGGATGTTGTCCATGTTGAAGTTGCCAAACTTAACCCTCTCACGATCGTAGAACCTTAGCACTAAAAAACATGTTGTTTTTTCAGAGGTTTGTGCCTAGAGTGATTATATAGTGTTTTCTTCTTCTAAAGGTGTTTGCACACCAGGTCTGCATTTCTACACGTGTTTTTATTTGTCCTCCACAAAACAGATCGCTTTTTTAAAATTCTATTCGATACTATGGAATAAAAAGCAGCCCTCAAGCAGTGGTGATGATGATGTCACTCCTAATGAAAAATAAAGTGTGAATGGCAGGGAGATTTTACAAGCTAATACCAGAGTTGGAGAGTTATTTCAAGACCTGCTGTCTCATGGCAGGAGCCAAGTTTGATACATTTCATAAAATAGCTGGAAGCACAAAAAGAAAAAGAGAAAAGTATGATCAAGTTGATCCTGAACAGGAGCAGTATGATAGACAAAAGGAAAACAACACACACAAAAAAAAACATCACACAAAAAAAGTTCCTGTGTTTGTTTCATAAATAGCATTCACCTTATTTGAACCTTTTGTCATATGCAAAAAAATGTTAATAGGTAAGCATAATAATAATGAATCTGGTGTGTTGTTGCAGAGACAAGCCGGTGGCATGAGGTGGGTCACAGCTGTGCCATACAGCAAAGGCCAGTTGGGACCAGCCTGGAGAGCCTGTGGGACGTCCTGCCTGAGGTGCATAAAAGTTCAGCCCACTGGGATTGGGATGTTGGCTCCACTTCGAGCACAATCACCAGCTTGTTGCAAGACCTCAGCCTGACTGAGGCTGCGTCCTCGCACTCCACTGCACCGCCCAGCAAGCGGCAGTGCCGGTCCCTGTCTTGCTCAGACGAGCTCGGCGGTTGCCGCTCTACCTGGCGCCCTCAGGGCTCTCGCGTGTGGACAACGGTGGAGAAGCGGAGGTGCCACAGTGGAGGCAGCGTCCAGCGCGGCGGTGTTGGGAGCACGCAGCTCGGCTTCCCAGCCATGCAGCGCAGCTCAAGCTTCAGCCTGCCTGCCCGCTCTAACACCCTGGAGCTGCCCTGCTTCACCCAACGTCTCCCCTGCCCCTCTGCCTTCACCAGCCTGACGCCCTCTTCCTCAATGCCCCTGTCCGAGCCCTCGGCGCAGCCCCTCTACCTCTCTCATGAACAGATCTGCCTCCCTGAGCCTCGTGGACCCTCGCCACCCAGCTCCCCTGACTCCACTCCCGAGCTGGAGCGCCGTGGTGGACAAGGGGGTCTCGCCCGTAGTCGTTCACAACCATGTGTCCTCAACGACAAGAAGATCGGTGTGAAGCGCAGAAGACCAGCTGACACACAGAGGCCTTCTTTGGACCTGGCCAAGATGACCCAGGTTGGTATTTAAGTGGTACTTTGTAAAACACATCACACAGAAAGAAACTGCTTTGTATCATATATAATCAGGACAATTTGAAAACAAACTGGCAGTATTTGATCGTATGCTATTTGATGTCTAACATACGCCTAATGAACAGCAAAGTAATCTTAACTAATAATAATAATGGGACCTGAGCATGTCACGTTAGAAGCAATTTCCAGTGACATTTTGTGTGGCAGTCATTTATTGGTTGAACTCGCCACAGCCCTCTTGCGTGCTCCAAAAGATCACTGTCCAGAGCATGAGACAGGACAGGAAATAGTCATGCCAGCTGGGAGCTCTGCTAGGTCCATCAGTCTCACTAACATTAGCTATTTATACTCCACTGTTGTGGCAATTTGCTCCCTCCATGTTGGATAAACAAACACTTCCAACTAAGATCACACCATTGTGTCCGTTCTCCCTCAGCACACCTCAAAGTGTTTCTGCAGGCATTGCTGTTAAATGAAGGCCATCGTTCATTCATGCAGGCTTATTCTGGGTCACATTCCATTGTGTGGGTGTGTGCCCTTTTTAATGTGCTTCTAGGGGAAAAAAGGTGGTTGAATCAAAGCAGGAATTAAGAAGTCAGTCAGAAATGATCTTATGAAATCACCGGCTTGAGGTTATCCTCTGAAGTGGAGCATGAAGTGGAGCATGAAGCCGAGCAAGTTTCGGCAGACCATCAGCCTGTTCGCCTGCACATCCCGGCAGGCATTTGTCTCTTTGCCCCACAAGCACACAGACACATGTAGTAAAATTTCACACGTACACCGACTGGATCATAAACAGAGCTGGACTTGGCCCCTCTGAGAAAGTCACCCAGAGTTCAGCAGTGTCTTAACAACAGCGCTGCTGTGACACGACAAGCAGACGCCACACACGCTCCAAACAGGGACGAGGTCAGAGTGGAGAAAAAAAAGCCTTAGGCGAGGCAACCAACAATATTTTCACAGAGGAACGTCAGGGTGCTGAGATTGTTAGCATTGGATCTGTCCTGCTGTTTGTGCATTGTGTTCTCTGTTCTCCTCTATTAAAAGGGACTGCTGTGACATTGGTTTGTAGCTCAGGTGGAAGGAACAAAGCCTTTGAAACCACTAAAATGTTTTATTTATTGTTATTTGAAAGGTCTTTTTAAATTTCTCTCAAGTGACTCTGGTTTAGAAACCAGGCCTCCAGAAAATGACTTCCAGACTTTTTGGCCCTGTCATCAGCACTACCTCTGGGTTTAGTTGCAATAGTTGACACAAAAATAAACTGACAACAGTTTTCACTATGTACTAACTGTATAATAACTTAATCGTTTTAGTAATTTATCAAGCAATAATGGCAAACATTTGCCAGTTCCACTACCAGCATGATTTTCTTTGTTTTATATGATTTTAAATGTAATGTCCTTTGGTGTTGCACTGTTGATTGGATAAAACAAACAGTTTGATCCCCTTCTGATGGGCAATTCTCACTATTTTCTGACAGTTTATGGGCTAAATGTTGCGAAATTTCCTTTTTTTGTTTTGAAGTGTGTAGCTGTGAAAGATTCAGGAACTCACAGTGGAAAAGATGTTCACTTGTGATGAGTAAACTTGCTTGGCACTCAACTCGGCGGCGGGGGGGGGGGGGGGGGGCTTTATCGTGCGTCACCCTATCAGTATTCAAAGTCACCTTACTATTCACAGATGGGTCACAGTGCTGAGTGTGTCTCTAAAGTGTCCTCTCATCCACACGCCACAGCGGTGTAGTTTACCCAGGGAGAAACTGCTACCCTCTGCGTGGCTCACTGCGGCTCCATGAATGTCAGGAAGTAGAGCAGCTGTGGCAGAGGTTATGGATCGTTGCACTGGGGAGATGCGTGTTGGGTAAAGAGATATTGATTTCTGTAAATTCAGCTCAGTGGGTGGATCGCTGCCACAACCGGGCCTCATGAGCTATTGATCAGCTTTTATTGAAGGAGAGTCAAGGTCAGTATGGATGAGGAGACTTTCTGCACTCTTCTCCATTTCATTCAGAGAGGTGGGGACGACAGTAGCAGACAAACACGGACACCGGCAGCACTTATTCATGACCCTCATTGTTATGTGGTGCAGTAAGTTGTGTGAGGACATTCTGTGGAAGAGGGTTTTCTCTGCCTGAAACTTCCTCTGCAGAACACCTCTGGACTTAATGTCAATGGCACCATTTTGCTATAGTCCAGAATTACTCGTAGCCTTAGCAGCTGGTGTGGTCTGGGCCAGAAGCATGATGTTGGAGACTGAAGTGCTAATGCACAAGGCAGCAATGTGACACTGAACTGGTGCTGAAGAATGTACCCGCTTGACCAGCCAAGAAAAGTAGAAGGGGCCCCGTTTGATCTACTGCTGCCCAGTGTAGAGACGTTTCTCACTGCAGACGAAGAGGTGGATCATAGCTTTACATGACTCCCTTTCTTCTCTACCTTATGCATCGGCTCTAACCACTTTGGTCTCTGTAAACACAGATCTGATGGGTGATAAATCCTGAATATGTGACATTATAGTCATAATAGAGCTGACATGATCAGTGACCGACAAATAATCAATTTAGCATTTTATGTAATTTATCAAACAAAGTCACAAACATTTATAGGTTCTAGCTCTCTCTAGACTTGAAACCTGCTGCTTTATTAGGAGTTTTTTTTTTTACTTTTTCAAAATGTAAACACAGGTTTCATTTGATTAGTCAAGTGACTAGTCAAGAGCAGTTATTAATTTAAGTTAGTAATTTATCAAATAGAAATGCCAAATAAGTTCCAGCTTCTATAATGTGAGGATGTGCAGCCTTTTTCTGTATCTCATATCATAAACTAAATCCCTTTGGGCTTTTTAACTCTTGTTTAGACAAAATAAGCGGGTAGAAGATGACACTTTGCCTTACCTTGCCGTGTTGGACCTTTAATCGTGTAAAAGGCATGGATTAATCTTTTAATCTATCGATTAGTTGCAGCTGTAGTTCATACACTTGGCTGTGAGATGCAGCCCCAACAGTCCCATGCTTGTTAAGTATTGCATAAGCACACAATTGACGGGAGGTTTCACAGAGGGCCTATTCTCCTGTGTCCTACTGGCCTAACACCGTAGTGGTCAGGCATGAGGCAGCTGTCCTGCCTTCTCCACATTAGCTGTACAGATTGGATAAGCCTCTGTCATAAAGCCTCCCGCTCCAGCGCGCACAGCTGTCACAGAACTTGCCTGCAGCAGTGTTGGCACATGTGGATTTGCCTAAGGAAGTTTCTTGGTTTCCCAGATGTATGTGTCCATTGTACAGTGCCAGTGAAAGGCCAGCAGAGTCAAAAGGCTGACATGAGTGATGTCTGCCCTCTGGGTATCTGGCCACTTGCTGCCTGGGTTTCCGTTGGACCTCAGATCACATAGCCCCACTCGTCCAACTACCAGTTGCTCCAGTATGTAATGCAGGCTAAATTTATACCCTTCAAATCTTGTTACTTTTTTGTATTATAGTGGTTGTTGCCCAGTGTCCAGCTCTGACCTCATAGACTCACCCACACACTCTTATGAGTACAGTAGAGAGATTGTTTTCATAAGATGGCTGTATGCTTTTAGTTTTGTTTGTGCCCTAGTTAGGACATGGGTCAAAGTCCAAGATGAAGGAAACGTTTTTGATTTCCTTACTAAATATGCCATGACCATTGAGACCATGGACTCCTACCAGACCAAAGATTGGATGTACTTGTTTCCTTGAAAACATAAATCTTAAGCTTAAAATTGCCTTTCTGTCCTTCCACAGAAACTTCGGAATTTCCACAGCCTTAGCTGCCCCGGAATCCCAGGCGAAGACGGCTGCGAGTCAAGCCAGGCCCGCCTTACTCTCAGGAGCACCGCTCAGTGCGACACAGACGACTCATCTGCAAACGAACACAGCCCGGAGGACGTTCAACCTCGGACCAAAGATGGCGAGATCACCAGGAACGTGTCTTCAGACCCCACCATCGAGGAGGTGGACTGGAACTCCACAGACTGCGGCGATGTGACACCAGGGACAACCAACGGGAAGGACAATGAGCCTCTGTGGGCGGGGCTGTGTAGCATGAGGAAGGATGCGTATCAGCTTGGAGGCGAGCTCGACATTGAGCAAATTGAGAGGAACTGAGCTGGACCGTCTTCCTCTCGGGGGAAGCTAATTTAGGGGACTGAAAGTTGATCACCAGTTGGTACAGTAAACAGTACTGATAGTCTTAAGGACAAAGCAAGTGGAAAAGCTAATGCAATAGAGTAAAAGAGTATTCCAGCACTTGTTTTTTTCTTTTTTTTTCAAGGAGAAATTGAGCAGGAGCATTGTGGGCTCAAAGCCTATTTTTTGGGGACTTTGTGTAGTCAGAAGCTACTTCTGCACTGTGCGGTATCTCAACTGTGTCTCAGGAGAAACAAGGAAGTCGGGGAGGACAGATTTGGGTGGAGATAATAAAACTGATAAATAGAAAAATGATATATTAATGTTGGCTCAGAGATTGGGGTCTTTAACATTTCTCTGTAACCCTGATTACCTTCATTGTACTACATTTGGAGAGAATGCACAGCAGGTTTGTATAAATTCTCTGCACTAGAACAAGCGTCTGTTCCTCTGACCTTTTTCAGTCGTACATGGGTACATGATGGATAGAAATGGAGACTACTTCGAGAGCTACTGTTAGTAAAGCCCCTTTCGCTCTTACTGAGCAACAAGCTGCACGCACACACAACCTGTAAAGTATATTGAAGAGCTTAACATTTCACACCGTAACATCAGGCTTCTCTCTGAGATGTATGCTCCTGTTTGTTTTGAGAGAAACCTTGTGATGCTAATAGCATTAATATTCTTTCTTTTTACGATTTGTAACTACAAAGTTATGTAAAACATGAGCATATTTCTATACAAATAAACACAGTTTTAAATGTGTCATTTGTAATCACATTATTTCAGCGTCTTTACTCACAAAGTTTGGGATGCCAGCTCTCAAGGTTCACTGTAAGGTTCTTATTTTCAGGTAATTATGAACTCATGAAAACATATTCCATTTCTGCCAATAGATCCTCCTCCTCAGATTGGATTTTGGCAAATGCCTGTATTAGTTAGTGGTTGAATATAATGTAATGAATCAAGTATTGTACTTTTTATTTCTACTTGAGAACATTGTATGCATCTCAGTGGCAAATATTATTTTACTCTAAAATCTATAATGAGCTCGATGCATTGAATACTATAGTAGAATAAACTACCAAATACATGCTTGAATGTTAATGCACCTGTAATAATGTAACACACCTAATGATCATCTAATGCATAATATACAGCACTGACGTGGGTAATTCTGCTTACATACACTTACTTTTGATATTTTTAAGTGCATCTTGCTGATAAAACTTGCAGGACTTAACTGTGTAATGGTTACTTTCACTGCCATTAGCAGAGCACATGCATTAACAGCAAGGTCATTGTTGGAGACATCTTTAATGCAACAATGCAGACTGACCCAATTAAGTAGCAGGAAAAGACAATCACAACCTTAGTAGTGGTACTACTGATGAGCCTGTGTTTGTGTGCTGAAGCGGGGAGTGAGTAGGGATGACGCCGGGCAGGGGTGGGAAGTCCGGTCCCTGTTTCTTTTCTTTTTTTGATGGCGGGTGGAGTGGTGGAGCTGAGCGGCGGTTCACCCCAGAGACCTCACTCCCTCCCTGCGCTAGGAAACAAAAGGGGCTTTTTCACTGAGGAGCACAGTGACGTGGGAGGCGGCTGTGAATGTGGGCCATGTGTCAGAGCTGCTGCTGCCGCTGCTCCGTTTGTCTGCTTCCCCTCCCCAACCCCCGGTGCCTGTGCAAACCTCCAGAATTATACTGTCGTTAACTTTCTGATTGCTGCTTCAGTACGACTGCGTATGATGTCTGCGTGTTTTGTCAGGCTTGCAACGATGCTTGTAAATCTTTGAAAGCGTAAGGTGCCACTGAGGGAGGGACCGTCACCTCATTAAAGACCTGCTGAGTAAATTGAAGATTGCTTGACATGCTATACTCCAGGCTCAAATGCCACACAAAGCATAACTGTGGGATTAAATTTGCATACAAGGCAAATGCATACTTGTGTAATGGACTTGATGACTATGCTGTAGCATGAGAATCTTTATGCTTGCATACTGAGGTCATACTTCTGGTACATGCAAGCCCGCTGCTTTTAACCAGTTAAGCCCCTTTCGGGTAATGAGTCGAGAAGGAAGTGGGTAAACAGAATCCTTGTAAACGTGCTGTGTGGCAGACTGACATACTGAGGGCCCCTGGCCTTTAATCAGTGGAGTGACAGAAGTGAAAGGAGGCTATGTTCTGACAGAAGATAGGAGCAGGAGGGGTGTGCCGTGCCGATGTCCTGAGCTATACTTGTCCACAACCCCCACCAGCACTGACACAACAGGGTGGTGGTCACTCCTAAACCTTTGGGAGGTTTTGGACAGTCTTATTTGCTCTAGTGATGATTTGAACCACCATCATTTTATTTTGAAAGACACGTGAGAGATTTCCCATTTGACAAAAAAAAAAAGAAAAGAAAATCAATCAATTTCAGTAGTGGAACTTTTCGCATAAACAAATTCAAGCATGAAACTGAATCTTGGCACTAGTTCTTGGGCTTGGTGCTTACCCCCGCTTGGCAGCGCAAATGTGGTTGGGGTGAAAAACAATTTAGCAGTAGCACCCGGCCACAAAACATTTCCAGTTGAGCAAGTGTCGTCTGAAGTTTTTCAAATAAAAACCGAGCAGGACAAAGGACTTTAGCTCTAAATGACAAAAAGCCTTTTTTGTGTACATACGCACTGAATCGTTACTCTATTGGAGGTAGCTGTCATGTTCAATCTCACCCACATTCTTTGTTGGCTCATGCAGGACCAAACCGCAAACTGTGTGAGGTACAAGTAATGTTTTATGTTCAGCCAGTGTTGAGACTGAGCAGCAATAGTCTGCACCCACATAGGCCTTCTCTTGTCAAATAGTTGTTGAGTTTTAAGAAAGAGGTGTCAGCAAGAGGATTGTAGGACCCAAGGTGTGAGCACTCAAACTGAAAGCTTTGGCTTTTACAAAAGGTAACTGGACTCCCTCACTGGAAAGCAGAGACAGCTTTTAAAATTGAGGTCAGCTGTAAGCCTTTTGCAGACCAGGACAGTTAGTTTACACTGCACAATGACATACGACCACCCCTTCGACTGGATTATATATACGCACAAGTTTGGGTATGACATCACAGGGTCATGCTTTGTGTCTGGGGAGCCAGGCCTCGGAGGCTTTAGCGGGCAGTCGAGCAAGGGGTTGCGTCCTAGAAGGGGGGCCTATGACCGCTGTGACCATGTAAGCAGAGTACAGACCGCTCTGTGTGAGACAATTCTCAGATTGCCTGCAAAGACTCACAGGGGTGGGGTCGGGGGTAACCAGGAGAGGGAGGAAATTCAGGCCTCCGCTCCAAACCCGATGACTTCTGAAGTTTCACAGCCCTCCCACGCCACTGAGCACTGTTGGCACTGCTGCCCACAAGGGAAGAGTGATGAAATGTGGGGAAACCATGTGGCTTTGGTGAGTACGAGCAAGAGGCCTCCACATGGACGGCGCTCCACACACAGAAGGGAGGGGGACAAATAACTTGACTGCTGTCAAAACAAGGACAGGTTTTCATGAATAACGGTGCATTTGGGGCTGCAGGTGTGCGACACTGTCTGGTCAGCTGACCTGCCGTTTCCTGTCGAACAGGAAGAGCAAAATGAGCAGAGATGAAAGTTCAAGGTAACACACAGCTGGCAGTTGTTAAGGTGGGTAAATGCAGGTGCGCTACAGAGCAGCAGTGTGTGTGCCGTGTAAGAGGAGCCTAACCCAAACAGATGACATAAAAACGTATATGAATGTGAGCTCGGGGACACACTGCAGCAGTGTGTATGCTCTGCAAAGATGTAGCACGATCTCGGGGGGCCTCATTTCTAAAAATGTCTGACTTCTTTTTAGATTTAATTTCATAATTATTCCAACACATAGGATTAAAACTGAATAGTCTTCATATTTTAGACAAAATTAGTCAATTGAAGTTACTAATATTGTCTATGACACTTAAAAAAACAAAATACAAATAACAACTTTACTGGATTTGGTTACAAACATAAACCTTGCACAAATGAGGACCCCAGGAGAATGTTATCACTGGATGCAGGAGATTGGGACGGACACGTTTAACATTAGGAGTCACATTCTTCCACTAATGTGTCTGTCTCCGCACACATGACACATTCTGCAGGGCTTTGTGTCCCTGAGGTGTCAGTCAACATAAGATGAAAATGAGATCATGAGCTTAGCTTGGTAACCTGAAGTATAAGAAGAGGAAGGAGGTAAGGGCGGAGACACCCTGGAGACAGTCATAATCATATTGTAGTATAGCATAGTAATATGACTGCAGAAGCCAATATGTAAAGATGAGCATTTAGTGTGTTGCAAATGAGGTCGACTTAAAGGGAGTGACATTTGCAAGAAGAATGCCAAATTTGGAAAATTCTGAGTACTTTTCTGGGTTAGTTAACTATAATGAATTGTTTAGTCTTCAACATGTCATGAAAATAAAGAGGACTGCCAGTTTCAAGTTCCTAAATCCCAGGGTTGCTTATTTTGTCTAAGAAGCAGTTTCTAGCTGCTTTGTAAGGCTGTACTTAGGCACTGTAGTTAGCACTGCCAACATACTTACAATGACAATGCTTACAGCCTGATGCTTAGCAGATACAATGTTTACCATGTCCACATCTTAGTTCCACATCTGCAAATTAGTACAAAACAGCAGTTTTGCAGCTTTTTGGTCATAAACTGAAGTATTGGACAAACTCAAGAGTTTTTTACCTGAATGAAAAGTTAAAGGATTAATAATCTGGACCAAAGTGGTGGCCCCCTGTGCTTCCACTACCACAGTTTATATCTTGATCAGTTACTTACAACAATTAATAAATAATTTAAATAATTTAACATAATAAGTACAATAATGTTCTGTTGACTGACGGATTGATTGATCTTTCATTTCCTGTGAATAAGCGCCTAATCGCTTTAGGCCTAACCGCATTTACTTGAGACGACACTTAATGCATATCAACAGGTTAACTGCATTAACATGTAACACAGTGAGAAAACAACACAATACAGATGTTAAAAAAAAGTCCAAAGATGACAAACTGATGTACCAATAACCTCCAGCTGGTATATCACAACAGCTTCAGTCAAGGATTTGACAGTATGTTAAGTCTGTCCTTACTGTCCTGTGTCAATGAGGTCATACATGCCCAGACATGTCTCCTGAAATGAGGTCATCTCTATTATTTGAAAGGTAATCTTGCTTCACAGTCTGTGGTCACAGTGTGGGAATCAATGTGCTGCCCTCCAGCAAGAATATCACTGTTTACCTATCAGGCCGCCTGCAGGGGTAAACTGCTGCTAATTTGTAACTTGTGTGAAATGGGTGGATGACCTCGGGCCAGCCTGAGAGGTGTGGTCATCAACCAGCAAGCTTTGAGGCATGTGTGTGTGTTTGTGTCTAACACCTAGCGATGATGAACCTGCCAAGGGGAGCTGTTGAAAACTGTGGCCTACATCCCTCAGAATTACTTCACTTCCACGAACTGGAAAAAAAAAATAACCTAGTTAAAGCCAAGTGAATTCATTCGAGAGTAGTCAAATACAATGTTTAATAGCTCCATACAAGGCCAGCAGGCAGTAACATAATGGACAAAACACTCA